ATTTATTGACAAATTGTCCAGGAACCGTGACTTTCTGAGATTGACAGTTTTACACGTTTTCTGTCGTGGCTGGAGTTTCTAATCATCGGAACCCGCAAGGAGATCACTTGCATCTCGGTGCAACATTGCAGCGAAAAACTCTTTCCGCATCTTTGGGCTTTTGTAAAAGTACTATTTATTTATCGGGGAATCGTTGAGGAACATCGGGGGCTCTGTTTTAAATATCGTTCCATGGAGCTTGCAAATGCGGGACGCGATGCATAAGCGGGATTAATGAAACGCAACGATCCGATTCGCTTCCCGGTGCAGCCGAGTGCACCCGAGTGCAGTTCGCGCGAATGCAACGACCTTAGGATAAGTGCGCGATCACGTCACGGTGGAGTTATGTAGGTTACGACACTTTTAGATTTCACGAGGACGAGATGCAGCGTCTGTCGAGAGGAGAGAGAAAAAAAAAAAGAAGAAAAACTCCGAAGATGTATATGCACTTGTCATGCACTTCGATTCGCGGCGACGCGCAACGGAAAACCCTAAGTAGGCGCGCGCGTCAGTTATTCCCGATTACTTAATTTCCTTTTTTTTTTGCGACCACCTAGGCAATCCATCAATATCCTGGAATTTTTTACAGATAAAGGAGGATATCCCCTCCCCCTCTGAATTTTGTCCCCGCGACAAAGTGACTACCGATGTCTCTGCATTTTTTTTTTTCTGTTTTCTTCCCCGAAGTAAGTCGCGCCGCGCGGTCCCGCGCCTCGCGAGCTGTAGACCTCTTTTTATAGGTATTCATTTATTTTTTTTCCACAACAAAACGGCGTTTCCCGGTCTCCCGGATTTTTCCCGTAGTTGCGTAAGTACTTTGTGGCTTCTCGAGATTTTTCTTTCCGGCCTCGGGAATGACTTGTGTCGTGAAATCGTGCGAAATAACTCGGCGAGCGGGCCCTTCGCGCGACGTCGGCTCGCCGAGGCCGGGGGGGCGGCTGCAGCTGCAGGTGCACCGTGTAGTTTGCACAGTTCCTCGGGGCGCACTTCACCCGACGCGGTAACTTCATTACCCGAGCCCGGTTCACTTCAGCCGGAAGCTATTAGGACCGGGTCAAAAGCGCGCACTTCGTCTCCGTTTAGCGCCAGGGCAAATAACTCTTTGTGCGCCCCGCCATGGGAATCCAATCAGAGACACGTGAAGAATTAACGGTGAAGTGGACCGGCAATGCCTGGGGGGGAGGACGTAATAATCTGCGAGACTTCAAAGAAAATCAAATTCGGAGCATCCCCTCTTTTGGGATATGCCCCTCCGCCATTTCCTTCTCCAACGATGCCCTCTTACCTTCGGTATCAAATCTTCTCATAATTCCCTCCATTTCATAATCACCCCCCCAAATCATCCCCATTCCTTCCAGCATCCCCTGAAGTCTTGCGTTATTTTTTTTTTCCTTCGAATTTCTCCGTTTCCATTACTTGCGTAAACGGCCGCCATCTTGGTTCACGCTCGGCGCTCCATCTCTAACCTTCGACTTGAATATTTTCATAATTCCCTTCATTTTATAATCCTCTCTCAGATCATCCCCATTCTTTCCGGCGCCCCGTAAAGTCCTAGTATGATTTCCTTCGAGTTTCTCCGCTTCGACCTCTGCAGCTACCGCCGCCATCTTGGTTCACGCCCGACGCTCCATCTCTTACCATCGACTTGAATATTTTCATAATTCCCTTCATGTCATAATCCTCCCTCAAATCATCCCCATTCTTTCCGGCACCCCATAAAGTCCTAGTATGATTTCCTTCGAGTTTCTCCGCTTCGACCTCTGCAGCTACCGCCGCCATCTTGGTTCACGCTCGGCGCTCCTTCTTCGGCTCCGATTTAGACAAAATAAACGGCGTTTTACGGTACTTCCAACGATTCCCACGAATCCTCGCCCTCGGATCCATCGACTCGCCCACTAATTCGGGGAATCATTAAGCGGCGGTCCCCAGGGGGGAGTTTTAATGACGACGCGTCTCATCGGGCTCGCCGCTCGCTCGCGCCCTTTCAGCCCGGCGAAGGAGGGCTTAACGATCCTAGGAGATGCAAAACAATTAACACCCATTGTAGGCCGCCAGCTTAATGCACCCGAGAGGGATGAAATTAAAAGCGGAGCTTAAATACAGGCCCTCTTTGCCCGACGCCGGCTTCCTGAATATATATGTATATACGTATACACATATATATATAAATATATAACCAGCCGGGCCGAGCGACGCGGTTCTCGTGTTCACTCAAAGTCCAAAAGCGGCGACTCGGTAAACGCGAGCCCACTTTTCCTCCCCTCGGTCGGTACCACCCCCTCGACACCCCCTCGTCGCCTCGGGAAATTAATTCGCGAATTCCGGGGAAATTGCAGGGGTGAGTTATGTCGCGCCGGGCGCTCCGAAAAGGAGGGCCGTCCAGTTTGGGTGTTTCGAAAATGAGGGAGAAAGTCATTCATTCCGCCCTAGATCGTTCCACATTCGAGAACGAAGTAGACGAGACGCTTATCCTATTCTCTTATGATAAGATGTACATTGATTATGCAAAGAAGTTAACGTCAGGGTCGGGGAATATAGTGCTAAACGATACAACGCCGTGTATCGTATGTTAGTCTTTATCGCGTTAAATACATGTTCTGGTTGATGTGCGCGGATCATCGTTGCACGTTCCGAACTTTATGTGCAATATTGAAATTGATTTGGGGTATTTGTATCTATAAGCCGAGATTGGTCGGGCTTGATACCGGGGTTAGTTTCTAGGGGAATAGTCGTAGGCGTTATGTGTTCTAGCACTTCGTGGCCGGGATTTAGTTACTTCGTTTTAATCCCTTGGTGCACCAAAATGGCGTCCGGTGGTGCAAGAAGTCCGGAAGGAAAAATTAAAAATCACCGAAAATCGATCGTCGCATGATAAGAGGTTCCATAATTGGGTGTATCGGTGATTCTATTCATTGTGTGTACCGATATATTAAGACTATGTTGTATGACCATAATTACGGGTTGGTTTACTTAACCTTATGCTGCACCAAAATGGCGTCCGGTGGTGCAAGAAGTCCGGACGGAAATGTTAAAAAAATATCGAAAATAGATCGTCGCATGATAAGGGGTACCAGAATTAAATGTATCGGTAATTATGCTCATTGGATATAAGAGATATATTAAGATTATGTCGTATGGCCGTAATTACGGGGCGGTTTACTTAATCTCTTGGTGCACCAAAATGGCGTCCGGTGGTGCAAGATGTCCGGAAGGAAAAATTAAAAATCACCGAAAATCGATCGTCGCATGATAAGGGGTACCAGAATTAAATGTATCGGTGATTATGCTCATTGGATATAAGAGATATATTAAGATTATGTCGTATGGCCGTAATTGCGGGGCGGTTTACTGCGGGGATTTCTGCCGGGAGATCGTTCCGTTTCTGCGCGCATAACGCGCCGGCGTTAACGCTGCGGAATGGAAGCGCGGTGGATTTCCGCACGGGATGAAGCGGCCCGCCTTATGGCTGACGTAACTCCAATTGGATCGCGTGAAGTTGCACATAATCCCGCGACAATCGGAACCGCGCTTAACTCCCGGCCCATTACGGAGTCGCGGTGCAGCCGCGCGTGCGCGGAAACTTCCCCGGAAGCTGCAGCTTCCCTTGAGACGCAGGAAAATCCTTTCTACGTATAAAAATTACATCCGTGCCGAATACAGGAAATCAACGTGTGCGTTTATTGCCGACAATTCCCCTGCGTCGCAGCGACGTTATCGGACCTAGGAAGGAAAAACGTCATTGTGACATGTAATTTAAAAATCAATACTTTGATTCACTAAGTATGTCTATGAAGAGCATTATCGAGGATGAAGATGAATAGTGTGAAGTTTGAGACGATTTTGTACATTAAGTGTGGGGAAAAAAATATATGACGATGAACAGGGTGTACCAAATCGTTTGAAACTTAACCTCTTGGCTACTAAGAGCGCCTAAAGGCGCCCGACGTTTGGTCCAATATTGCCTGCACGGTCAGACGAATTTCGCCCATATGGCGAAATGGCTCCGTGTTCAAAGGGTTAATAATGTGATTGTCGCGGCTATCGGGAAGATCCTAACACCCATAGAATTTAATTTTTCATGAGAAGTTGTAAAAACACGTATGAATAAATTTTTATAAGATTAAAGTTTCATGGGTTTCGGGATCTTGTTTAAGGCCTCCGTGTTCAGAGTGTAAAGTTTGAAACGATTCGGTACACCCTTTTTGGAGAAGTTTCGAAAGCAAGACCTTTAAGGATGTTCAATTGATCGAACGTTTTAATTTTCGATTTCCAGCACTGTGTTAGCGTGGCCGGAGGTGGCGGCGGAGGCGGCGGCGGTGGCGGCGGCGGCGGCGGCGGCGGGCGGCTGAGCCTCCACTTACGCCCCTGCGGAAGCGGAACCGGAAGCGGGACCGGCGGCGTCGTCGGTGCCGGAAGTGACGGCATAGCGGAATACCCGCCGAGCGCTGCAGCTGCGAGGAGCAGGGAGGCGGCGGCGGCGGCGCTGCACGCGGCAAGGACCCTGTTGGGCGCGGGGGTGGCCAACCCTTGCTCGCCCACCCCCGAGCCGCCCTTCTGGAAGATGCCTCATAAAGGTTAGTCTCCAAATTTCGCTGCCGCCTTAAAACTACGTCATTGATACCGGTACATGGATAGACTCATCGTCACCTCCGTAACATTTGAAATTCTGATTCCTATTACAATTTTTTTATTTTTATGATTTTTAATCCCCTCTTTTTCGATAAATATTTCCTGGGCGCGATTCCACCCCCGAGCCGCCCTTCTTGAAGATGCCTTATAAAGGTTAGTCGCCAAATTTCGCTGCCACCTTAAAACTACGTCATGGATAGGACTTATTGTCTCCGTAACATTTGAAATCCTGATTCCTATTACAATTTTGATATTTATATGATTTTTAATCCCCTCTCCTTCGATAAACATTTCCTGGGCGCGATTCCACCCCCGAGCCGCCCTTCTTGAAGATGCCTCATAAAGGTTAGCCCCCTGACGTTCGCTCTCGCCTTAAAGTCTCATTTTCTATCCCTCATCATTCTGACGATCTTAACGATTTCTATAATTTCTAAAGTTCCAATCGCGTCGTACAATTCTCGTCATATTCACTAATTTCAAACCCCACCCGTTGAGTGAATATTTTCCGGGCCCGAGCAGCCCCTGGGGGTGGCTAACCCTTGCGTTTTCCGCCCCCGGACCACTGTGGCGGAAAATCCCGACCGGGGGTGACGGCTATTCTCGGGGCTTCTTTCAAAAATACCGCCGCCCCCGGAGTCGTATTTTCGTATTCACTACCCCCTTAATATGCTCCCTCATGTCGCGTCGGTACCCCATTCGCCCCATGACGTCCGACGCTCTCATATGCTATGCGCAAAGTCGCTGATAAGTACTCCCGACCCTGAAGAGATAGGGACCACTCTCGACAGCCCAGTTCGCAGGTACGGTTCGCATGCACACTCCTTCCCCACGATTCCGGAATGTCGATTTTTCCACCGCAAAGTCGTATGTCGAGGCTCTTCCTTTTTCTCCTGTTTCTCGAGTTCGCGGTGAGTCGATAACGTTACGCGCGCAAAGTCATATACGCCACTCTCCGGGGGGGCTTTTGCCCCCTTTCGCACTCTTTTGTTTGCGCACTCGTACCAGCTCTCCGATCCTTTCGCGTGTCCAACTTGTCGCGAACTTGTCGCGAACTCGTCCTGAACCCGTTTCATGGGACTTGCGGGACGTCCTCCGAGTTCCCCCCTCGAGGATATTAATTTTGCGATAATTATTTCTCCGAGAGGGATTAACTGGCACTCCGATCTTTGATTGACGGAAATCGAACCGCAAACCGGGCCAATTGATTCTCAAGGTTTCGTCGTTATTTCTCTTATTTCTTTTCGGGTTCATGTACGCGATTTGCGGGCTTGTGGATGTCGACTCGCGTGTGTTGAGGACAGGTGGAATCAGAATCCGAAATGAAGGATCTTGGACATGGTGTTGCGATAAAAGTTCTCCTTCCGTGATAATTCAATATATCGAAGAGCTTAACGTCGTTATTTCAGTGCGGTGTCGTTAATAAATGTACAAAATTGACGGTGCGCTTTAGACGGGATAAAATGAAAAATAAGATGAAATCTCGTAAGGTAAATTTGTGAGATGAAAAATCGCGAGAATATTAATATCACGATAAAAGTTCCCTCGAACGGGAGCACTAATATACAAACATCGTTCTTTTGAGAGTGTTAATAATGCGATAAAAATTCTTTCTCATGAGAAGATTAATTCAATTAAATAATTGGATTGCAATCCCATTAAGAAAAAAAAAAAAATGTTGCGCGACCTCGGAATCGGCGGATGGACAATTTTGAAAATATTAAATCTTACGATAAGACTTGTCAGTCCAAGAAATATTAATGTGACGAGAAAATCCCTTGAACGGGAATATTAATATCAAGCGTTAATAACATCTCTAGAGAAAATCTCAGTCACTTCTTCTCTTCCGTCGTCCGTTCATTTTTTTTCTCTTTCTTTCTTTCTCTCCATTCATCCCTTTCGATTCGATCGAAACCATCGACCTGTAGATTTCGAAAAAGGGGATGGCTCGCAGGGGGGTGAATTTTTAACGGAAGCTTTCATTTTTGACGAGGCTTCGGCATAACGAATCCCCCCCCCCCCTCCGACATCGGGGGGGTTTTAATGCAACTATTACAATGCAATCCCGTTAACAAACTTTCCGCCACCGCGAAGTTGGCCGATCGGTCCGGTCGCGGTTCTCCCGCTAATTGCGCAGAAAACTGATAACCGGAAACGTCCGATAATTAATGAACCTTGAAGCCGGGCGCATTAATCCACTTTCCCCGGGCGAATACTCGCGAAAGTTGCGTAAAACCGTGGATCGCGATACGAGGGGGACCAGGGGGTCGTTTTAATTTCTCTTCGTGTTCCGCATTTTGTTTTTTCTCCTTTTTTCTATTTTTTATCCCCGCGATCGGCGTTCGACGCGCGCCGATACCCGCGCGACGGGTTGTCGCGATTTTCGGGATAAACCGCGATATTCGCCGCTTAATGCATCCCGGATCCCGTTCGGGGAACACTGAAAGTCAATTTGGTCCCGTTTAAAGGTTCCCGGGTCCCCGAGGCGACTCCTGAAGAGGAGGAACTTATCCCGATGAATTTTTCCCCACCGAGAGGAGTCTCTCCGATTGTTCGATAAGGGATGAAAATTCTCAAATTTCATTTCAAGGGTTCTTCTTTTTTTTTTTTTCTTTCTCCTCGTTAGAAATGCAAGATTACATTACAATATTTGTAATTTACACCTTAGACGTACCGCGTGAAAATCACTATTTAGGGTTAATTACCCCTCCGAACTAGCGATATCATTTTTTAATCTACATTCTTGACGCATTTTGTATATTTTTTTTTTTTCGGCATTTCTTTTGGAAATTTGTTATTTGGTAGCCGATAGAAGAAATTCGGGGATGAAGAGGATAAAAGAGCAGATGCACCTAAGAGGGTGGAAAAAGCCTCCTGGGCGGGTTGGGGGCGAGTTTTCGCACCTCGTTAGGGCTCTTAGGGGGAATCCGGATGCAAATCTAAATCCTATCTCGGGATTTGAATCCGCACCAGGTTCGCGACGATTCGAAGGATTCGGCGGAACGGGGGGCTTGCCCCCCCGGATTGGCAAGACGCACCCCCCTGGAAAGGGGTGTCGGCCGTACCGTCGTGCGATCGTGCCTCTCAGTCGTGGTTTACCCCCAAGTTAACCCCGTAACCCTACCCGGCAGTTGGCTGGCTTCCGTCGGCCAACAGCCCCCTCGCAACCCCGTAATCTAAGGGTGGCACAAGACACCGCTCGATTCTCTCACCTGAGCCTCGTCCGCACCCTCGGCAAGGGCGTTCGAGGTGTCCGCCGATGTGGCTTCGAGCCCTCGAAATTTCCCTGCACGACGGAACCCTGGGGGGTTGATTTGCCCCATCATCGTTGCATCCCACCCCTTCCGGTGGTCTTGGAATCTCCTGTAAACAAAAGGGACTGTTTATGACGATCAAATACCTACCCTCCATCCCTTGAACATCTTAAAGAAAAATCCCGTTTCGAATATCCCTACAAGGTGAATATTAATTAGGTAACCGTATTATAATTAAGGGAAGTTTCTTGAGCAGGGGTGTGGCTTAAAGTAAAATTCTCCAGCTCGATAGGAATCGATGGGGTTGATTTTTCTCCACCATTGAAACCTCCCTTCTTGCAATCTCGGAGAAATTTCTATGAGAAGGAATCCTTTTTACCGAAACGCATCTTGCCCTCCACCCTGTATGAAAAAAAATGTGAAACGGTGGAATCTTAATAATTATCGAAATTAAATAATTATCCTATCCCTCAGGGAACGAGGGAGGTGACATCAAGCTCTGGGAATGGGGCTGAGAGATTTATTCCGTACCCTTTCAGCATTTCATTCGAAAACCTCCCTTATAACCCATCCCTCGGGAATAAATCTCGAACCGCCGTTAAATAATTATTTAACCCCTCAATGAACGAGGGAGGTGACATCAAGCTCTGAGAAGGGGATGAACCGTCCTCCCGATTCTCGAAACTCGATCCGGGCAATTGTGATCGGGGGGGAAGTGCACTCGACGCACCCGCGCACAATGCACCGCCGATCGATCGATTAATGGCAATTAAATTAACGAACAAAAGGGGGCACCACCCGCCGCGGCTCCTCGGAGTCAAGACACGGGCCTCTTGGTGGCTTTCGGCGCACAATTAGGAACACCTACCGCCCTCTACTCGGCTCCAATAATAACCGGCGTGCTCCAGATTGAATTACGCACTTTATCGAGTGGCCGGAGCTTTCTTCCCTCCTTTCCCCCCTTTCCATGGGGTGCAATGGGTCCCGACATGCGCGGCCCGTTCCACGTGTAGCACCCGTGCACAATGGGCCCCATGGCACGAGCCCCGACCCTCCCCCTCTAAATCCTCCCCGCGACGAACCTCTTGCCCCGGGAAAGCCCCCCAGGTCTTTCGAGGCACGTTTTCTCACGAGTGATTCTCTCCTCACCTCGGGAACCGCCTTAATGGCCCTCGCGCCGCCTCGTGGCGAGGGCGGGAATTTCCTTCGATATGTCTTTTCTTTTTTCTTTTTTTTTTTCCCGTGTTTTTATGCCTCCTTTCAGTTTCCTACATCATGTGTATGTTTCTTCTTGGGTCTTAAGGGGGTTAGTAATAATTGGGTAATTTTGTAAGTTCATGGGGCGACGTTATTTACCGAGGAAATTTTTTATCTCTTTTGCGACGTTTCTGGGCAAATCGGGTTTCTTTTCGCGACGGGGGTATTCTTGCGGGTATCTGGCCGCAGCTGCAGCTGACGCCAGTCGGGGGAATATACCCGGGATAATGAATAGTCAGCGCAGCAACGCGCTCCGCGCGATTCAGAGGAATCCGCCGGTAACACTGGCGCCTAATGAATTCGACACTCGAGCCACGGAGCACCCATTCACCGCGATTCAACTCATTAGAGAATGTTCCGACCGACATCTTTGATGTCGGGCGCAAATTAAACCCGCGATGGGAGGTAACGCTGCTGGGAAGTGAGCCCGGTACCTGCCCGGCAGTCGCGGGTGCACTTCGCGCAGGTTACCTTCCAGGATACGGCCAGTGACGTCAGGATAAATTAAATGTGTCAAGGCATGGTTGTGACGACATGATATATGTGATGTATGAAAACGATCAATGACGTCATTTCTGCGATATATCGGGGGATAAATAGTAAAATTAGGGCATATCGCGCAGGTTACCTTCCAGGATACGGCCAGTGACGTCAGGATAAATTAAATGTGTCAAGGCATGGTTGTGACGACATGATATATGTGATGTATGAAAACAGTCAATGACGTCATTTCTGCGATATATCGGGGGATAAATAGTAAAATTAGGGCATATCGCGCAGGTTACCTTCATGGATACGGCCAGTGACGTCAGGATAAATTAAATGTGTCAAGGCATGGTTAGTGACGACATGATATATGCGATGTTTGAAAACGATCAATGACGTCATTTCTGCGATATATCGGGGGATAAATATTAAAATTAGGGCATATCGCGCAGGTTACCTTCATGGATACGGCCAGTGACGTCAGGATAAATTAAATGTGTCAAGGCATGGTTAGTGACGACATGATATATGCGATGTTTGAAAACGATCAATAACGTCATTTCTGCGATATATCGGGGGATAAATAGTAAAATTAGGGCACTTCGCGCAGGTTACCTTCCAGGGTATGGCCAGTGACGTCAGGATAAATTAAATGTGTCAAGGCATGGTTAGTGACGCCATGTATATTCAATGACCGGTGGTGTTAAAATATACCCGATAAATCATAACACGGCTAGTAATATCATGATATATCGAAGATATTAGGATGTGACTAGTGACGTCATGATGAACACGGCAAGTCAACACGTAACCAATGAAGTCGTGACGTGCATGAGTTGTCAAGATATGACCATCCATCATGCTCTATGTGTCACATGGAGCCATGACTAGTAAATTCATGACACATGCGACACATTAAGACATAAGTGGCACCGTGACATACCCGATATATGTGTTTATAAAATATGGACCAACAGGTAGGAATCACCGCGTAACGCGAATTAACGTCAAATTGAAGGAAAAAAATAAAAAAGATCAATTTATTTATAAAAGACTCAATTACACCCTACTAACTTATAAATTCAATTACGTGACGTCATACAGTTACATGATATTTAAATTAACATGGAAGAAAAAAATTAATTCTTAACAATTTCAGTCATTTCTCTCGCGTCGTTCACCCGGCGTGGAGGCGTCGAAAACGCCTTAAAGAGGGGTAGTTGGAGAAAAAATGCGCAAGAGAATAAAAAATAGGGTGGGGGTCCCACGACGGTAGCGGAGCAGCAATTTTCCATTTCCGGTTCGCCGGAGAATAAGAAACGTCGATCGGTGCGACGTCGTTCATTAGCTCTTTGTCGCCTCCCCCCGCCCCCCCCCCCCCCNCCAGCCCCTCCCGACATACGGAGATACGGCGCTAACGAAGGGACGCATCCCCCGGGGAACAAAGAGAGGCGAAGGGCCCGTTGTCGATATAATTTTCCTCGCTTCCTCGTTACATCGTTCCGCGCCCTCCTCTCGTCGTCGTTCCTTCGAGCCACCCCCCCTCCCCGGGGGGGAGGTAAACGCGCGGACACGCACGCCACCCCCCAAGAATAGCTCGTCGACGACAAAAGTGAAGAGGGAATTGAAGAAGGGAAGTGAAAGGAAATAAAAAAAAAAAAAGAAAAAATCCCCCTTACCGGAAGATGTTATAGAGGCCGTTCGAGAGTACAGATTTCTCAGTACCTCACCCGGCGTCGCGACGTCTTGGGGGAGTGGGTGGGTTCCTCCCGCCCTCCAACCCGATCTAATTATCCGCATGGAGTTGCGCGAATTATCCGCGAGGTGTAAATCTTCCCGACGGGTGGGCCGCCCCAGCTGCACTGCGGTGCACAATGCGGTTCCGCGGCGTAGCGATTCCGCACCCCTCCCCCCGATTTGCGTCGCGACGTCCCCGTACCGGAGTTACCGCCGAAAATGACTTTCGCCACCCCTAACGGGCGGACAGAAGAGTCCCTCGCGAGACGGGGCGAAGACACCTCGGCGGATTCCGAGCGACAAAACGCACCCCCAAATGAGATTACGACGACGACCCCCCCTCCCTTGCCCCGCGATCGGGGCGCCCCCTCCCCCGAGTGCCTTCGCCATGGTTGGCGGATCCGCAGGGAGGGTCGGATGAGTCCGCGAGGCGTCGGAGGGGGTGTGGGTGGCGCGGGAGGGGCTTGGGGGTTGTTTGGCGCGGGTCGGGGGCGGGGGAGAGGCGCAGGGCGCGCGGAAACGAGAGGACGACACAGAGGTGGTGGTAGGGGGGTGGCGGCGCAGGGGAGGAGGGACGTCCCGACGTCGTGCGCCGCTAGGATGGGATTTAATCTGTGTACCGTTTCACGCTCGGCCAAGTGGAACCTTTTTGGCCTCACTTTGCGGCACGACTCGCTTTTGCCGGTCGTCGCGTGGATTAACGCAAAATTATAAATAAAAAGGGAGGAGGTGTACGTGGCGCGAGCCGTCCGCCAAGTCTCTGGCATCCCGCCCTCCCGCCCTCCCCCTCGGTTCTTTCTCCTTCCAGGGCTCGTCACCGGCTACGCTTTGCTCTCGGACGTGTCACGGCGAGGCTGCAGCTGCAGCTGCGCCCCCCGGAGACCCGCGACCCACGACCCGCGACCGGGGCTCCGCGCGGGGTCCCAGGATCGCGCCCTGGCCGGGGACGTCGGATTTTTTTTATCCTTTTTTTTTCCTTTTTATTTTTCTACTTCCCATTCGGGTCTTCTTAGCGCTTCCACCAGCTGGGAATCCTTGGAACTCTCCGTTCCATCGAAGGGCTGGCGAAAAAGGAACGACGGGGGTGGACGAGCGGCGTAGGGTCGTCGTCATTGAAAGCGCGCGCAGGCCATTTAAATTGCGCCCCCGACTATTCCTTGTCGCTACGCCCCCACCCCACTCCTCCCCTTAGGTGGGGATTAATTAAATTTGTTAATTGCAGGATGCATTTAGCGCGTCTCGCCCGCCGGGCGGCCCGCGGCCTCTTCTTAGACCTTTCACGGTGGGGCGAGCGCGAACGTGGGGCCCCTCCTGCTGCCATTATGCTGGGATGGGGGGCGGGGGCGGACGCGGACGAAGCCGGGCAAAAGGAGGCCGCGGGAGTCAAAAGGACGGGCCCGGAGACAAAGAGGGACAAGGGGAGACTGCTAGGAGGATCCGCTCTTTGACTTCGACCGTGGGGGTCGGGGGCGACGCGCGCTTTGTCGCGATTGTAACATACTTTCCCCCCCCTCCCCTCCCCCTTACAACCCCTTCGTTCTTCTCTTTTCTTCTTCTTTATACACCCTGTGGGAAGTAATAATCCCGGGGGTGAAGGCCCCCTTGCACTCCTCTTTATGAGCCCCTTCAAAATTGGGAATGATAAGGCCCAAATTATTTTTTTCTTCTCTTCTTTTAATGAAGAGAAACAGGGGGCGATTCAATTTGAGGTACTCCTACTCATTATTGAGCTTAATTAATTGCATGGAGGAGTCGGTTCGACTCCTGATTGCGATTTAGCCGCAGATCTAAGTCGAACCGACTTCGCCAGGTTCAATTCAGATAATCAGATGATTTATGTACTCTCGTTTCTTTTTTGTCCGAGTGTAACTAGCTCATCTACAGGGAAGGGCTTAATTGTAGGAATAGTTTTCGCGAGAAGTGAACGTACGTTGTTCCTCACTCTTCGGCACGTGGGGGGTGGACGGCTTTTCGGGGGGCACCGTCGGTCAAACCGGCACGGAACACCCGCCTCGCCGTGTGTTACGAGGACGGGGGTACATTATACGTTTCGGTTCACAGAGGAGGACCTGATGCACGGGGGCGGCGGGGGCATCGGGGGTGGTTCCATGGTCGGGCAGAACTCGATATTCGGGTGCTCGGCCGCGGGACACAGCGGCGTCAACCAGCTCGGCGGTGTATACGTTAACGGGCGACCCTTGCCGGACTCCACGAGGCAGAAGATCGTCGAGCTGGCCCACAGCGGGGCCCGGCCTTGCGACATCTCCAGGATACTCCAGGTCAGCAACGGATGCGTCTCCAAGATCCTCGGCAGGTGAGTGACGACATTTATTTAAAAGAGGAAGAAAGGAAACAAAGAAAATCTCAGAGAAATTCTCTCATGAGAGAGAACATGTAAAGAGAGTTAACCGAACACACTGATAACGTTAAACTGATTTTTGATAGCGGAACGCACGTTATTGATTGATTTATTATAAGTCAGGGGCTGCAACTGTTTTTTTAATTGGTGATTGTACGACTATTGTTACCTTTTAGATATGTGCCCATAATTATGAAAGTGGTCTAAGTCATATATTATTTGTTTCGAAATTACATCGAATTAATTTCGTTTGAAATAATATGGCGTGAAATAACTGATAAACTCATTTTTTTTTTTTTAATTTTGACTTAGACCACTTTCATTATTATGGGCACATATCGTCAACTCTCGTTGCAAGATATTGTTTATACAACTTTCAGTGACCTTTCAACCGTGCATATTTCCACTATTTTGCGTTTATTCGGCGATGAATAATTTCCTTGTTAGTCTTGTCACCTGTTCGTTGACACCCCTTTTGGTACCATCTTCAGGTACTACGAGACCGGCTCGATAAAGCCCCGCGCCATCGGGGGCAGCAAACCCAGGGTGGCCACCACCCCCGTGGTGAACAAGATCGCCGATTACAAGCGCGAGTGCCCCTCGATCTTCGCCTGGGAGATCAGGGACCGGCTGCTCCAGGAAGGCGTTTGCAACAACGACAACATACCCAGCGTGAGTATCGGACCATCCACTCGAACAAGAGATGTTCAGACATCTAGAATTCATCTCCAAGAAACAATTCCTCCCCATTTCCAAGTGAAAATCCTGATATCACAGCACTGTACCTTCATACGTAAAAAAAAAAAAAAAATAATGACAACGTAACGAAAAGTGAAACGCTTATTAAAGGCGGTTCATTAATATAAATTAATTACCATTTACATTCACCGCCGTACATCAGCGTGAACATTTTTATTATCCTTGCCGCGTAATTCTCTCGATCAATGATCGATATTCAGAGTGAAACGAGAGTAATGAAAATTAAAATAATTACCCCATAATTACGTTGTAACATGTAGCATCATCTGCAAAGTATAACAAAATCATCCGTTTATGTGCAAACCTATATACGTAGATGTCAGTGTCACAAAAAAAAAAATTGTCACATCAATATCTAGCGAATCTGTTTGGACTTAATTTGTCGGGGCATTTCGCGCTAGGATAATTAAGAATAACGAATAATCTCAAATAACTCGGGTTAAATCGGAAGTACCGCATTCAATCCGAATTTCAAGGGGCCCAAATCGGCCGCACGGATATTTCTCTCCTTCTCCACCCCCGAATCTTCATTAAGCGGGAATTCGAGGATTCGGACCACCGTGCGAGACAAGAGAGAAAGAAAAAAAAAAGCGAGAGTGGGACTCGTAAAGACACGGTCCATCAGGCCGGTCCCCCCGGGGGGTGATCACCCCCGACCAGAGGCACGCGCCGCCACTGGTTCGGGCAGCGCCCCCCTCGCCGCATCCACCGCTTGTCCACCACGTCCACCGCGTCTGCCCCAGCCTCCACATCGCCGCCCCCTGCCCCCTGCCCCCCGGGGGGGAGGGGGCAGGGGGCACTTACCCATCGGATCCGGCCACTCGACCCTAATCAAAGTCTCGTCAATACGATCCTCGCAGCCCGAGGGGACGGGGTAATCGGTCCATTACGCGGACCGGCATTGTCCCCGGGAGGGCCCCTTCTTTCTGGGGGGGAGGGGAATCCAGAGGCGTCTTCTTCGGGGGGGTTGCCACCCCCGCGCCGATGCATGGGGAGGGCTGGAAGGGGCAGCTGCGGAAGGCAGCGCGGAGGTTCTTTCTCTCCCTCCGCGGGGGCGATCCTCCCCCGGCACGCGCACGCATCGTTATCCGGCGTCGCGGCGTCCCCCCCCCACACAAGGGGGTGATCAATCAACGCGCACGCAAACGCACGCACACGCTAGTCGGGACTCGGAGGAGACGTCGAGTGGCATCCGGAGTCGACTCCCTCGACTTGGTTTCGTGTGCCCCCCCCCCAGAATGCAAGACGGGACGCGGTGGGGCGTGGGGGGAATATCGGGGTGAATGGGATCAGTTAAGCGTGTTGCGGCGCAATTATTCGTGTCCGGTCGCGCGCGTAATGGTCCGCGTCGGTGGCGCGCTGCGGCCGTTGTGCGGCGGGACACGCTGGCCCTGGCTCCTGCGGATCCGCCGCCACCCCCAATCACCCACCCACCCACCCACCCACCCATCGCTAGGGTTGTGTGATGTGTCACTTGAGAGCTTTTTTTTTTATGCCAAATGGGTAAATAAAGGGTTTTACGTGGAAGGACAGGTCGTTTGGTAATGTCCAGGGCTCCTATTCGATTTTTCTCGATTTCTGTCGAGTTCGTTCGATTTTCTTTCGCACGCGGATAGATTCGCATGAGAAATATCGCATTGTTGGAAAGTTGCGTGATTGGTTCGTAAATACGTAAATTATCCGTGGGATCTCACTTATCTTAACCTGGGTACCATTTTTTCCACCCACCACCCACTCCCTGCGCCATTATACGGCGCTCCCCGTTCACCTGAACGGCATCCTTCGTTGAACCTTCCACGGGGACGAGCAATTAAGACGAGGTCTTGAACCTCCCCCTCACCCGGCTGTAATGACCTGAAATCGCGGTAAATCGCGGCCCGCCAGGACCACCGGCGTTCCGCGTCCACTTGGCCCGAGTTCCATGTTCCCTCCCCCGTCCTATAACTCCCTTTCGTCGAACCTTTCAGCGACTCGTCGTAATTAAGACGAGCGAACGCGCGCGCTCCCTTTCGCTCGGGCTCCGCGCGCTTGGATTGATCCGCGCCCTCCCGGGGCGTCCCTTTCTCTCCCTCCCGCCCCGATATCCGGGAGGGGCGACGGTGGCTCCTCCGGGCGGACCGGGACTCGGCGGCGAGACGTTTGTGCCCCGGCAAGGACTATTATGTACCTCGAGGAGCCCTGGAGCCCGCGGGCTCGTTATAACTTTCGAGTTAGCCACTGGTTGCCGGCGGTGGTTAAGGCGCACCCAGCCCGGGAACCGGGATGGCGAGGGGAGGGAGAGAGAGAGAGCGTTTTATGTTATAATAATTGGATGGCGGTGTCCTTTCATCTGGGTACCTTGAAAGGTCCCGACTGCCCCCTCGCTCTTTCCCTCTGTGTCTATCCGGCCGTCTCCCTTCTCTTGGTCGATCTCGCGGGCCCGGCGACGACCGGTCGATTTCGTGTTCAGGGTTACTTTAAGGCGGGGGACTTCTTCGGGGGGAGGTGGTCCTGGGGACTTGGGAGCCGATTTGGTGATCGGACTTCGGGGTTGGACCTGATTCCGGGTCCAGGGGTATCTTTTAGGAGAGTTGGGGAACCATCTTTGAGGGGAAGGTGTCTAGAGGAACTTGGGAATCGATCGGACGGATCTGGAGATGATGAGTTAGGATTTCATATCCATTATATAATATATATGTTACCGTGAATGACCGAAATTGGATAATGTCGACTTTCACCGGTGAATGACAACAGATACCAAATACGTCGGTGAAAGATCGAATATTTCATTACATTGTTGTACATTCGGGCCCTCTCCAGTGTGTGTCGACAATCACAGATATTAGTGCATGGTGAATGTCAACGTTTACCGGTGGATGTCAGAAATAAGGGTATTTAGCAAATATTTCGGACATACACGAAGCGACTATGTGAATTTCATTCACCGGTGAAAGTCGACATTCTCCAGATTTCGGTGTTTCACTGTAACATATATATATATATTCCTACTTTAACGCTCCTACTTTACAATATAATACTAAAAGGGACGCTTCGTGCCAGTCGATTAACAGGACTCGCGGTTCTCTTGCCGCAGGTCTCGTCGATCAACAGGGTGCTGAGGAACCTGGCCTCCCAGAAGGAGCAGCAGGCGGCGGCGGTGCAGGCCCACCAGGGCCCGGAGAACGTCTACGACAAGCTCAGGATGTTCAGCGGCCCGGCCGCGGGGTGGCCCCCGGCCTGGTACTCGGCGACACCCTCGCACCACTCCCTCGCGACTGGCATCCCCACGGCCGCCACCCCCGGGTCGGGACAGTCCCTCCTGCCCGGGGGCCAGCTCCACGGCCGAGACGACCCGCTGCTCAAGAGGAGCGGTAAGTCTCCCATTTTTGTCTCTTCATTTGCATGCACCGAGAAAAACAAGCAATAACGTAATATAAATAGAAACAATGATTAATACACTTTCTTCATGTATAGACGCGATTTGGCGTTTTAATTTTATACGTAATCCTTGAAAAAATGCTACGATCGTTATTTATTACATATCGCGTATTGATTTGCAATTTATTTATTTACAATCATTATGTACCACTGCATCATATGTTATCGTCATTTGCTGGAAGATGTAATGGAGGAAACATTACATCTTCATCGTCACCATCGTCCGATTCGAATAGCTCCAAAAGCGTATATTGTCCCGTTGAAAAAGACATCTTGTACTTTCTTCAGCTTTCCGACGTTCGGGACCTTGAAAGTGTAGATACACCTTTTTGCACCTTTCAAGAAAAGCGTAGTACCCTCGTTGCCCTCGAGGGTAGAGAGTGCAGACAACGCGAACAAATCCACGGTAGAACGTACCGATTAATTCTTCGTCCTGTCAGAAAGTCCGTACATGGTCGCTGGACAGCTCGGATTGATAAACCGTCCGTTTCCGACCAATCCAACGCGTCCTATCACGAGCAGGTGGAGAGATACCTTCACGTTGCTTCCTCGGGCCTCGTTATTGGCCAACAGTCGCGGCCGGTGCGCGCGCAGCACTTGGCTGCGCGCGCCGCGCCCTCCTCGCGGCCGCCATCTTGAAGTCCCCGCGAGCGGCGCGTAACCTCCCGCCTAATCGGAAGCACATTTAAGGACGACATACCCAAGACAGAGCAGAAAATCATGGACCAATCATTCCGGGGACAAGTGAGAATGTTCTTTTTCCGCGTACCTCGTCAAGTCGGGCGCTTTGAAGGGCTAAAAGCTGTAATCGAAAGGCCCGCCGCGGTCGGAATTCATCGGGCGGCCCACGTGACGCACATTACGCGCCCCAGGGGGGTGACTCTAAATTCCCCGTTTGCGATTCACCCGGTCGATTCCAATTCCAGTGGCCGCGTTCCCTTTTTTTACCCTGGTCCCCCTCTTGTCGAAGCAGGGCAAGACGCGCGCCGCCCCGAAAGAATCCGCACCACCCCCTTCGCGGCACCCCATTGTCCTCCGGACCGTTCTCCGCGGTGGCGCGCAATTTAAATCCCAGCACGCTCCACTTGGCAGGATCTCGATCTGACACGCGAGGCGCACGGGACACGGAACCCACGAAGTGGCCGTGCCACCCTCGGCCCCCGCGTTAAATTCCCTCCCCGTCCTCCCCCCTCGCCTTTGTGCGTCCCCGGAGCACGCAATAAACCCCAGGAGAAGTGAACGCCCGGAGAGAAAGGGAGTGGAAGGTGGAAAATGAAAAAAAAAATGGGTGCTCGGCCGAATGCGGAAAAGGGACGCGGAATGCTACGAGGGATGACTCCCTGAGAATTGATAATCCCTCCCTGTGAAGGCTTCTTCTGAACGAAATATCTATTTTAGGTTAGGTGGATCGTGGAGATGAAAGGGAAAGGGGGGAGGTTATGAACGAACGGTGGCGCTCAAGGCGGGAAAACGAGGAACCAGGGGCTATCTTACGTCGCATTTTCAAACGGATATAACGATAATCTTGAGTACATGTTTTGATATAATTTAGGTATGACCTACAAGTGCTCGATCAACATAAAAAGTGTCGGCTGACTTCACACGATACCCTTCTCAGATCTCTTATTGTTAAATCAGAAATAAGTAACACATCGTGGCCGTAATCATGAAAGTGGTCCAGTTAAACCCTTGCCTTACGATTTAAATTCCAATAGCGCGTGCCATAAAGAAGAAAAATGTCGGTCATACATCGGGCCATTTCACGGTTTGGCCTGAACGTTCAAAGTCTCACACGTCTCTCATACGTTTTCTTTACACGTTTGGCACGATTGACGTATCACGTCTCTTACACGTTTTGTTCACGTTTGGCCCTATTGATATACCACATCTCTCACGCGACATTGTAGGCGAAGAGGTTAAAAAAGAAAATAGAAAGAAAAAAAGGAACAGGAGTAAGTGAATTTATCCTAGATCTTGCTTTGGACACGTTTAAAATATAAATAACGTGATGTTTTTTTTTTTGATACCACTTTCATATCTACGGGCAGAGATAGTGTACGAGAACGCCGTTTTGTCACGAGATGTATCGCTCGAGGACTGAATAGAGGCGTGATAAGAATCCGGAAAAAATCCGGCTATATCCCGGCCCCTGGGCAGAGGGATTGCGAGGGGAGGCTCGTTCGCGTAAATCTGCACGCACACCTGGCCGCCGTGCGTGCGGGACACGATTCACCCCCGGCTTCCAGGGGGCTGGAAACCCGTACCTGGCGTGCCAACGTCAGGCCACGTCCTCGTAATAGGATAACCGAAATCGGCCAGGCGGCTGAGATTGCGGCACGGATTAAGTCGCGGATGACGACTCCGCGCCCGGCGACGCTCAATAGACAGATTATTAAAGCCGAGCCGTGGTCGCCGTGGCCGTGAAGCCGACACCGAGTCGAGGCGAGGTCGGCCGCCATCTTGGATATCCGCGCCTCTCTTCTTATTTATCGGGAATACGGCCTTTTTCGAATCTCCTTTCGGCTTCAAGGTGAAGGTCCTTAGAGAAATTGGCGAAAGTTGTGCCGTTCTTGTATTTTTATTTCTTTTTTACGTGAAATTTCTCATGCGACGGTAATTTCCACGTGGAGAAAAAGACGCGGCCGCTGTCTTCGATTCGTGTCGCTCTTCTTATTTATCGAGAATCCGGCTTTTTTCGAATCTCCATGCAGCTTCAAGGTGAAGGGCCTTAGGGAAATTGGCGAAAGTTGTTTTGTTCTTCTATTTCTATTTCTTTTTCACGTGAAACTTCTCATGCGACGCGCGTGGAAAAATTGACGCGGCCGCCATCTTGTATCCGCGCCTCTCTTCTTATTTATCGGGAATCCGTTCTTTTTCGAATCTAGATTCGGTCTTAAGGTGAATCCTTATAGAAATTGACAAAAGCCGTTTCGTTCTTCCATTTCTATTTCTTTTCTTAACGCGAAACTGCTCATGGGACGGTAGTTCCATTGTTAGTGCTGTCATTTCTGAATGTCGTGTAAGGACATTTTGTTAAAGAATAGTTAAGAATAATTAATAATAAGTCACTTTAACATGAAAGTTTGGGGTCCAACGCGCAATGATTTTTTTGGGGTTTATTTACGTGGGCCCGGAGTGAATGCTGGGACCAAGATTAGCGAAATAGAGACAGAAAAATGCCGAGTCGTGTCCCGGAATGGAAATCGGACAATCGTTTGCACGCCGGGGAAACCTTTCCAGTAGCGGCTCGGCTTTTTCTGTGTCATTTGGCTCAGTCGTTAAGCAATAGGCACGTGCCGGTAATCTGTCGTCGTGGCCGGGGATTTGCTTGCGCAAAATAATCCCACTTGCGAGATCGCCATTCTGCCGCGCGGCCCAATCTGCGTGACGAATCCGGTGTGACGAAACCGCGTCAAAAAAGGGGGATCAACTCTCAAATTGTGAGATCATTCCTAATCTCTAGGAAAAAGCTTACGTAAAATAAATTTCCAAGATTTCCTAGATTTTCTGCAACTTCGTACACGTTTAACCTTACCGGAAAAGAAAAGACATTTTCACTCTTAAGACATCATTGCTGACAAAATTCGCTTTTACAGTAATAACTGACAGAAAATTTCTTCCTGAATTAACAAATAATAGTTGTCTATATGGCGAAAATATCTCTGGAAATAAAAAATGTTGCTGACCTATTGTCAAGTGGTTTCCATTTGTCGGAGCATGTCAAATGTTTTTTTTTTTTATGTCCGTGAATTATTTTTCTTGTTGTAAAGCGGAAATTTCGTCTCGGGTTTTCATCGACAGGTTTTCTTTTTTTTTGGAGGGGGCCTTTTTCCTGGGGTTTCATTTCGCGGTATCGAACGCGGTCGTTTAATCGACTTTCAGGAAAAACTCGGTCGGAGTGTTCGTTCGCTCGTTCGTTTGTGCGATCCTGTGTTCGTATCCGTATCCGAGGCGATCAACTGTCCTTCGATTTGGGGGATTTAAGGGTGGATCCGTCCTCTGGTCGGGTGCAACCAGTTGTAGATGGTTTCCCCCGGTAATTTACGTCGAGCAATTGGTGCGCCAGGAAATCCGCCCTTGTTGGCCGCCCTCGATGGAGGTCCCCGGGTACGCTCTCTCGTTTCGGCTTCGATCCGTCGAAAAAGACCTCTTCCGGCGGGTCTACGGTCTACGGTAATTTCCGTCCACTCGTAGATCTTTTGCCGGCACCCATATCGACCACTTTCTAAGTTAATTCCATTATGCAACGATCCTCAATGGCAATTTTCCGATTTTCTACGTAGGTTGTCTCGCTATTTCATTTTTCATTCAATAATTTCTACATGGATAACGGGGAAATGGTGTCTGAATAATTCCCATGTAAACCAGATGCCAAGTTAATAATTTCCAAGTAGACCAAATAATAATTTAATAACCACCCCATCCGATTTTTGTGAAACCCGCAAAAGCATCGGATAAAAAAACCTTCTATAAATGTTGTATACAAATATTAAACGGTACCGGAGGAATAATCGCGGTAATGGAAATATTTCTCCCGAAACAAAAGAGCATCGGGCAGAGAGTCGAGGGTGGATCTTCCAGGGATGGGCTCGATAGGTGGCGGCGCGATAGTTGGGTGGTGGCATTCGGCTGGCGAGGGTGGTTCCATCCTCCCCTCGCGGGGGGTCGTCGAGCGGTCTTGGTCGAAGGCGAAGGGGGGTGAACGGCGGGAAAGCGAACAGCTGACGGTCGGACCGGCGACCGGCGACCGCCGGCACTCGCAGGGGTGGAAACGAACCGAGGGGTTCGGTGCGCGGAGGCGGAAGGTAATCGCGACGTTGGGGGTTGACAGGCCTACGTACGGGCACACACCCCTCGAGCCTCGACCCTCCTGCGTCGATGCGTTAGGTATCCGTAGATCCTGGATATATCCCGGGAATATCCTGGACGTCCTGGATGGTCCTGACGTGCGTATACATGCGCCCCCGTTCGAGGGCGAGAGAGTCCAGAAGCCACCCCTATTCGCCGAAATATGAAAGAACGCTCTAATGGGTGACGATTGGGGTGGGTTGGATCTTGTATCTTCTTATCGAAAAGTGGAAGAAATTTATCCAGGATTTTGACATCTCCTGACGGTCCTGATGTGGATATTCCATACGTGTCCGGTTATGGGGTAGAAAATCAAAACGCCACCCCTGTTCGAAGAAGGAAATTAATTTTCTTTCGGGTGAAACAATTTATTTCCGTTAAATAGATCTTGGGTTGTCTTATCATAGCCCAAGTGTCCTGGGATAGATATCCCTGCGAGGTACATTCATGAGAGGGAGTCCAAAAGCCACCCTTATTGGAGTGATCCTTTCGTTATCTTCTTAACAGTGGAAAGAAAATAGGAAAGAGGTTGAAAATTTTTCTAGCAGTTTCAAAAATTCCGAATTACTTAGTGCACTTATGCGCATTCACTTACGAGGGGATCCAGTAGCCATTTTTATTTTCCAAACAAAAAAATGGGATTTCTCTCGTTTAACGATTCTCCGGGGTGGAGTAGATCTTCCATTGTCGAGTAGGAGAGAGGAACGGAGTCCAGAGTTTCCCCCAGCTATTTCTGAAAAGTCCACCACCCTGATCCCTATCTTCGGAGGGATCACCTCCGCGTTTCCTGAAGAGTATGATGGATAATCGTCCCCTCCGTCCGGGTCTCGTCCAATTCCGTCGGTCGCACTTCGTTAAAACTCGAAGTTCCGGGCCGAGGTAGCTCCAGGGTCCCGAAGTTGCGCCACTTGTTCGAGATTAGATGATGGATGGTCCAGATCCGTCCCCCGATGAAGGACGTTCCCCTCCTCGAGTGTCGAAAGGACCAACATCGGGGTCCTGCGTCCTCTTCGGCATGCACCTGTACTCCCCAAGCCCGAGATGACCCGAAAAGACACCTGTTAATGTGTTTCAAAAAGTGCTCTAAAAAAAACTACTCTCAAAAAAAGTGCTTTCAAAAAATTGTAGATTCTCAAGGGAGGGGTTGAACGTCACTTTTTCTCGTTCCAGATCCCGGATCCTTGTTGTCGCACCAACAGGAGACGACCTCAGACGGGAACTCGGAGCACAACTCTTCCGGAGACGAGGACTCGCAGGTGAGGCTGAGGCTGAAGAGGAAGCTGCAGCGCAACCGGACGTCCTTTTCCAATGAGCAGATCGACAGTCTGGAGAAAGGTTTGTATCCCCCCTGGAAATGGAAGACGATCGAGCCCCCTGGGAGCCTTCCGATTTTTGGCGCCAAGAACATGGACGTAGGATGTGTGGACCATGTACGTCGATCTGACCACGAAGACAAGGTCCATGAACACCCTCTCTTCCTCTTCTTGTTCACTGTCCTAGCACCTGCGAGAGATAGAAAGAAAGAATTGCCCCGTCGGTGTGCTCTTTCTTTCCCCACCTTCAGAGCTGTGAGAGAAAGAGAAGGTACAGCCTCCCTATTCTCTCCCCTTTTTCTCGCCACCGCATCTGCAAAGGATAGAGAGAGCCCCTCTGTTCGCTCCTTCGCTTTCACGGCTGAAAAAGTGAGAAGAATTAGCCCCTTGTCCGCTCTTTTCTTTCCCTCCACCCCGGTTAAAGAGGAATATACTCTCTCTCGCTCTCTCTTAATTTGCAATCTCCGCGAGCGAAGAAAATCCGGAGGTTTACGGGGTCCACACATTCCGCGTCCAGGGCTCGCCCCGAATTACCCAGGAAGGGGTTCTCGAGGAAAAGCGACCCCCCAAGGGAGGCTTGCCGTAAATCGGGTCTTCGAGGTCGGGTGTCGTTACTTGGGGCGGCTAAAAAGCGGCCAAAGAGCGCTCTCGCGGGGGCGAGGGGCCCCCCTGGGGAGGACCCCCGACTAACCGTGCACTTGTTGCAAACCGTCTATCTCGGTCTTTTCAGAGTTCGAGCGGACACATTACCCGGACGTGTTTGCACGGGAGCGTCTCGCCGAGAAGATTGGATTGCCTGAGGCACGTATCCAGGTGAGTGTGAATGTGTGGGCGCGAATGCCGGGGGAGAGTGCGTCCTCCTCCCACCCGCGGCGACTGCGTCGCTCCGTCGCGCTCGCTCTCGCGCGGCCCCGCCTACATGCCCCGCATGGCTCTCGCGGGGTATCGCCCTCTCTCTCGCACTCCCGCGGCGCGCGCTAGCGCGCACTCTCTCGCTCCTACGGGCCGGCCGGCCGGCGTAAGCACGCCGCCCTTTCATTAACGCTTTAACGTGTAACCGGCGTTACGCGGAGACGCGTGTGCATTTAACGCCGGCCGGCCTGCCCTTAACGAGTGCACTCCACCCCCCTCGGGGAGCTTTTCAGCGGACCTTCTCCCGCGATTAAAGGTACGAAAGTACTCCGCGGATGTCGCGGGCTCTTATCAGCCAAGTTATTAGACCCTAGGTAGGGGGTTATCATCGCCTTTTACCCAGGATTAACGGTATGCGCACGTGTAAACGTGCATTAAGACGTGTTATGGACTCGGTGGGGTGGATTGACTTGCGATTCGCTCTTGATAAGACATCCCACCCCGCATAATGAATTATCAAAATCGACTTCTGGAATTAAAGTGTTATCTAAGGGTCTTTCTATTTCCCGGGGTATAATTATTTATTATATATTAACTACCCTGGAAGCTCTATTAACCCCCTTAATATAAAAATAGAGACTTCACAAAAAATGGTATCAAAACCATTTCCTATAGTCAAGGGTGAATGTCCCTCCACCCCCGTGGGTAAAACCTCGCGCGTGCCCCCTGAAGAGTCCTTATCACAGATGTGATTAGACGTCAGACAGAGGTACACAAACTCACCCCATGGGACTTGTTCGACCGAAGGCTCATCTTCCTTACCAATAATCGCCCTCTCGATTAGACCGGCGGTCTTTGAGGGGTTGAACGGTCTGCTCGTATTTATTTATTCGTCGATCCCTGGGGTCCCTCTCACGGGGGCTACACCCCCACCCCCCACGGTAGGTTTCGAGCGACAGAGCCGCGCATTGTTCCGCGACCATTGTTCGTTCTAATCGAGTGGTAACAATTGTACGCGTGTACCGCCGAGTCGCCTCCACCCCCGAAATGGGGGCGAGGGTGAATCGCGGCCGCGGATCGATCGAAAGGTACCTCGCGGGATCTCCTTCGCGAATTCGCCCCGGTAATTAATCTTTTTTGTGCCCCCACCCCCGGGAACAATTTGACCCCCACGAGTAATAGCGACAAGTAGAGTGACCCTCCACCAATCGAGGCCCACTTTTCTCGAGCCCCTCAAGTCAACCGAATTGGGCGCGACCCCCACGTCCAAACATCGTCATATAATGCCCCATAAGCTGTTGGATTTGCACGACAAAGGGAAAGATTGACACAGCCCCGGTATATATCGACTCCAACCCTTCGTATCGAGCCACCCTTTCTTCGTGCAATCTCACTTAATCATCATCCCATTTCCCTAATTTCCACGAATTAATCCGCATCGCGCCTTCCCCCCTAAACTATTCCTTGTTAAAAATTCGGCGAATAAATATACACAAGAGTTCACAATTAATTCCCATTTACCTTCGAATGAATTTTTAGTCATCATTTTAGTCCCTCGCACATTGCCTGTACTACCACTGAAAAATTGTAGGTAGTCTCAATGAGGAAAGAAACAAAAAAAAAATGAACTAACATACACCCATCCACCCTAATTTGTACTATTAACTCTAATCATTAATTTATACGACTTCCACCGTAACTGAACTTCTGAATTTATTATACAAAGATTCTTGAAAAAAAAAAAAAAAGAAAACAAGAAATTGTAGATCGTGGGATTAAAGGAAATGGAAATTGGGGGTAAGTAAGGGGGTATGGAACTTTTTTTGGGTATGAGGTCAGAGTGATAAGAGATAGGGGAGCGATCGGAGGGGTGTATCGAGATCGAGTGTCGAGGCATTATTTCAATGAATGCCACGGCGGTCAAGCCTCGGGGTGACGTATGGCGGTATAAGCTAATATGTACTCGAAGCCCTGTCGGACATTGTTTGGTCGCGCCGGGAACGCGTCGATAGGGCCCCGCAGGGCGAACGGGGGCAAAGGGGGTGAGGGGGGACGAGGGGTTGCGGCCGGGCCCGGGGGTGGCACGGGCGGAGCGTTATGTGGACGTGCAAACAGTGCAAGACCGTGTTGACGCATGTTTTCAAGCCTCGTTGGCTGGTATTGATCTTGCTAAGTGCAGGAAACCGGGAGAGCGAGAGAGATGGAGGGAGCGGCCGGTCCGCGGGAGCGAGAGAGAGGGAGACACCCGAGATCGAACATCGAGGCGGGCCTGCGAGAGAGTGGGCTAGGGGGCTGATGGGCACCCTTGGGTGGGTATCTGGTGGGTTTGAAGGGGTTATGGGCGGGTTGGGAATTTCTTTTAGGGACGACCAGATATCTAGATTGGCGAGGATACCTGGTGGATCTGAGGGGGAGCACCGAATTTCTCTTAGGACACACTAGGTACTTCGGTAACTAGGAAAAGGGTAAAGCATTCGGGCAGTAGGGTAAAACCCATCTTCGGATGGATACCTTGCAAGTTTGAGTATCATCTGCAAGGGTCATGCTGGGCGCCCTTTAGTCCATGCCGATTAGGCTGAAGAACCAAAAAGGCAAGTCTTGGCCCTCCCTTGGATTCAACCCCGTACCAGAATCTGCGAAGATTGAAGAAATGTCAAGAAGAAAAGTCGCAAAGTGATAGGAGGAAAATTAAACCGGGGTCACATTTAACTATGGGGTGTTGAAAAATGTCAAATTTGTCAATAGAAAGTCGTGAAAAGACAAGGGGGAAAAAAGATGATCGGGGAAATTGGGTTGCGGAGGGTCGGCGGTGTACGCGCGAAGGGCTGGTTTCGATCTTCAAGAAAAAATTGCAAAAAAATCATAGGAAAATTAAACCGAGGTCACATTTAACTATGGGGTGTTGAAAAATATCAAATTTGTCAATAGAAAGTCGTGAAAAGACGAGGGGGAAAAAAGATGATCGGGGAAATTGGGTTGCGGAGGGTCGGCGGTGTACGCACGAAGGGCTGGGTTCGGTCGGCAGGGTTGATGGAGGACCCGAGGCCTAAGAGGGTTCGGACCGGCAACCATGGCAACCTCCTATCCCCCGGGAGGTTGCCCTCCGATTGGCCGGGCCGCTTCTCTACCTACACCTCGAGTCCTGTGGGACGCGCGCCACCGCGAGGGCGCCTATCTCCGGCGCCTAGGGCCGATTATCATCCCGGCCCTTCAGCGATGGCCGCGCGCCCGCCGACATTTTTGCTCCCTCCCTCTCGGTCTCTCCGCGCCCGGCTCGGAGGACGGGAAAAAGAACGTATAATCCTCCCGATCGATTCCCCCCGCCCGAGGGAGAATTACCCCGGCGAGTCGAGGTCGCTCCTCCCCAGGGGGGAGGGAAACGGCGTGGATTTTTTAAAATGCACTTTTTTAAGGGAAATCCCTTGAATCCTGGAAAATTCACGGCGGTGATATTTCAAACCGATTAGGCCGAGCTCAGTTTGGAGAAAGGCTTCATAAACGAAAGGTCCCGATTTCCCCCACACTTCGGTATTTTCCAATTGAAGATATATCTTTCTAATTTTCCCTCGAGTCTTTGATGCGCCAAAATGTCGGCACGTCTCTTCTCATCCCGTGACGGCTCGATGTCGTCTCTATCGGAGCGAGCATTCGATAAGACTCGACATCCCGACCAGGACGCGGTGTCCCGATTCGATCCCGAAGATCCGATTAGCAATTTGTCCGTTTTGCAACGGCGCGTAGTCCTTTTTTCCATCTCCGGCGACTTTGCCGGATCGGGTCTCGGGCCTTACTAAGGCCCGCTCCGGAATCCTCCAGACCCCCCTGAGGAAGGACGAAATCCTTGGAGAAAGAAAAGACGAAGCCGAAATGATGAACACCGACGCCCCCAAATTTAAGGAATTTAATTCAATTCGAATTAAAGGTACCAACACTTTCTTACAAAATTTAGGAAATTGATTCTAACTCAACGGATATAGATATAGGCTTCTCGCCCGAACTTAGGAACTATTAATAAGAAATCAAGGAATTCAAGTTTAATTGTCAAATTTAGGCGTTTTCTCGCAAAATCTAGGAATAGTCCTTAACAAATTCAAGAGCTTAATTCATTCAAGCAAATCTGAGAGATTCGTTGGCCTATATATATATTCGGAATTTTCTCACCAAGTTAGGAACAAAATGTATATAATTATATTCATATAACTCAACAAATTTAGGAATTCGCATCAGGAAACATAGAGCCAAATTTAGGAGTTAAACACCACCCAACTGGGTCGACACCCCCAAAAACCTTCAGAAAACATCTTTATCTCTTATCACCCTACTTCCGAATATCCCAGGAGTGGGAAAAGCTCGTGGGTATCGCAAGTAGTAAAAAAAGCGTGTCAAAGAGGTGCAATGGAGGAAGGTGGCAAAGGATTAAACGAGAGACAACGGTTCTTCGTAGAAGGGCGACTAGGAAAAAGTGCAAAGGGGGGTGTGTGTGGGGGGGGGGACCTCGGGTAAAAAGGGGAGAAAGAGCGAATCCGGGCAGGAGTAACTCAATTTCCCGTCTGACAACTGCTCAATCGCAATTAACAAACTGCAGGAGAGGCTCAAACAAACTCGGGGATGGTAAAAAAAAGGGAAAAAAAGAAAAGCGCGCGGGGGCGGGTTGAAAAAAAAAAAAGAGAGAGAGAGAGAATGGGGTAAAAAAAGCACACGAGCGCGCTTACGGCGTACAGAGAGTACAGAGGGGAGGGCGGGGGTAAATACACGTACTCGTAGGTGAACGAGTACACTCGGGCCGGCTCGAGGGGGGTGCGTTTTGTGCGCGAGCGAGAGGGAGAGAGGACGTGGCGAGAGAAAGAGAGAGAAAGAGAAAGAGAGAGTGGCTGGGGATGATTCGCGGTTTTCAGAAATCCCTGACAAAACGCGTCCTCTGGCGTGGTTGCAGGTCTGGTTCAGCAACCGCCGGGCGAAATGGCGCAGGGAGGAGAAGCTGCGCACCCAGCGGAGGGCTTCGGTCGACCAGGTGGTGGGTGGCGCGACGGGTGGGGGTGGCAGCAGCGCTCCACCTGCCGCGACCCCCGCGACCCCCCGGCTGCCCCTGAACGCAGGTTTCAATGCCATGTACTCGTCCATCCCGCAGCCCATCGCCACGATGCCGGACACCTACAGGTGAGAGGGGTTGTTACCCCGTAGATAAAAGATAATCTGATAAATTTNATAGTGTACATGTAAGAAAGTCAAATTAACTGGGTTAATCCGTTAATTTGATTGTTTTTAACCGTATCGCGAAGAACGACTTCCGGCTTTTTAACTTTTAAAGGCTCCTATTTATTTTTTTTTCCCGCGTTAGGGAAAGTGGGAATGAAAAAAGACCTACTTAAGGGCAAACGGTCTTTTCGGGAGGAATGAAATAATTCAAGTCACCGCAAAGGAGGCGTTTGGGAAAGTAGGAGTAAAAGAGACTTTAGGTGGGAACGGGGGTGAAGAGGACGAGGAGAGTAAAATCGGCGATCCATTTCCGTTTCAGCTCGATGTCCGGTAGCCTGGGCGGGTCAATGGGGGGCAGCTGCCTCCAGCAGCGAGCCGAGGGCTACCCGGCGTACGTGTTCCACGAGCCGCTCCACTCCCTCACGCAGTCTTACTCCCACGCGCACACCACGGCCGCGCACTCGCAGCCCCACCGCGGCACCCCCACCACGCCGGGAGGGCAGCCCTCGGGACCGGGAGGGGCGCCCTACCAGCCGACGACCTCCACCGCCACCGGTAAGTCTGGCCCACCCACCGCCACCCCCCGAGGCCGCAGCCCTTCGCGCTCTTCGCGGCCTCCTGCGTGTTCCGGATTTGTCCGACATGGGGATTAAAGCCTCGAGTAGGCTCCGAGAGCCGCGAGGGGCGTCCGAGCGACGCCGACGTCGCCTATCGGGACGCCCGGGTCGACCTGGAACGAGACTCCATTTAAGTCTCGCGGTTTTTTGCCGACTGGTTTTTGCGAGCGGCGTCTTTTGTCCGGGGCGATAATTCGGATTTTTTTTCCGGTTCACTGGTATCAAGGAACCTTGATCAGGGAATGGTTTTTTGACGTTTTGTTTAAATTTGTTGGATCGTGGTATTAAAGCCGCGAGGGGCGTCCCGGTCGACCTGGAACAAGACTCCATTTAAGTTTCGTGGTTTTTTGCACACTATTTTCGCGGGCCGCATCTTTTTCCGGATTTTTTTTTCCGATTCATTGGTATCAAGGAACACTGATCAGCGAATGGTTTTTTGACGTTTTTTTTAAATTTGTTGGATCGTGGCATTAAAATCTTGAATAGGGTTGGAAGGGGCGTAGACGTTGCTTGGGGCGTTAATTCGGGGTTTTTAGGGTTCACCGATATCAAGGAACCTCTATTAGGGTGAGAACGTCGACATCACCTCTTGGGACGCCTAAATCGATCCGAAACGAGATTTAAATTACCCTCGTGGTTTTTCAGGGGTGGTTTCACGGTCGATATCGATTCCCCGGAGTGTTAATTCGGGGGTACCAGATTTGTAAGGGCCACTTTGTAAGACCTCTATTGGTCCTGTTTCGCTCTTTCAAGACCTCAAACATATAAAAGGGTATCAAACCTCGTTTAATATTTACAATTGAAGGTACTAACTCAATAAATAGAAAACAGTAAAATTCACGTTCTACACCCTTAAATCTAGTAACGGTAAATGTGGAGACCCTAAGATAGGTCTTGAAACTCGCGGAATTTAATTTTTTTATAAACTATTTATCAGAATTTAAGAAATTACAAATCGGGCTTAAGGGGATGTGAAACTGGTATCCGAAAGCTCAATCGTTCATAAAACTTTTCTCCGAACTTGGTGTCTCAAATCGTTTCATACTTTAAAATGTGAATATGGAGACCTTAAGGTAGGTCCTGAAACTCGTGGAATTTCATTTTTTACAAACAATTTTTAAAATACCTATAAAAAAACTTTCAAAGAATTGAAATTTCATGAGTTTCAGAACCTTCCTTACAGTCTCCCTATTCGCGTTGTAAAGTTTCAAAGAATTCGGTAAATCGATTTGGGAGAATTATTTAATAAACAAAACCTCTGCGATGCCACTTGCATATCACGTTAAGGGGGTGGGTTTTCTCGCGGGGGTGGAAATCGTCCGCGGCGGGACACGAGACAGATTCCGCCGGGCGTGTTCCGCGTTCCGCTCCATTCCCGGAGGAACCGGCGTGTACGGCCCCGTATTTCCTCCCCCTTTGGGTTCGCACGTTATTGAGCGCTCGCCCAGCCGAGGCGAGACCCAACCCATCCACGTCCTCCGTTCGCCCCCGGCACCAAGAGGGTTGCCAACCGCCAACCCCCGCCCCCGGAGGCCTCGCTAAACGAACGGAGCCGGCGGGATCGAGAAAATGGAAAATTCGAGGACGACGGGGAAGGTGAAACCGCCGATAACACATCCCGTTCCCCGATTCGGCCGCGGCCGCCATGCGAGATTTGTTTGGGAATCCTTTTAACAATTCCGCCCTCCACCCCACCCCGCTCGAGAAGAAGGTAATCCGCGACATTTATTCCCCGCGGAGTGTGGGAAAAATGTACCGAATAGCTCCCGTGACGACACCTTTGCCTGAGAAGCCGAAAGAAGAGGGCGGCCATCTTGGATGCGTAACCTCTCCGAAGGAACACCCGATTTTTCGAGGATCCCGAAAATGCCGCCCCAGGACTTACCCCTGGAATTAAACGTGGATGGAAAATTATATGCAATGCGTTATCGTTATGTACCCTGCTTAGAGAAACATGAGCGATTAAGCCTTCGGAAGCCACTTTCACATCCCCTTAAGCCCGATTTGTAATTTCGGTGCAACAATTAACCGTAAAAATCCGCTAAATAGGGGTACTTCTAAAAGTGAACCCTGTACAGTTCCTTCCTCTAACTTTTCCATTTGTAATTATCGGGTGATAACGCACCGTAAAAATCCGCGAATACTTTTATCAGTGAACCCTGTACAGTTCCTTAGTTTATTTTTTTTTCCGCCCCTCCCCCGGGAAACGAGAGGGCGGAAGTTCGTGCATCGGTTTGATTACCAGGGACGGCCGTTGTTATTAAATTTGCCGGGGGCGCATCCCCGTCGGATCCTCGAAAAGTTTGGGAAAACCGATGCGCCGCTCGGGGGTGCATCGGTGCGGCCGGGCCGCAACAAACTTTCACCTCGCGGGCTAAATAACCGCGTGGCGGAGTTTGTAATGACCCACCTGTTTTCCGTAGCCGAGTTGAACGCGGCCACGTAATGTACAGGTATTCGCGCGCACCGCTAGGCAGCATTATGCCGCAATCGTGCGAGCATGTACGGCCCACCCTCCGGGGTGCAGCCCCGAAGGGGATGCACTCGGGCACCGAGTCGCGCCAACGCATCCCCGGTGTACGCTAATTACGTCGCGGCATGGTTTTCGCCGTCGAGTCCTTTCGGGCCCTCTCGAAGGTGTCGCCGACCGCCTTTCCGAGATATCGACACCCCCCCAGGGGGTTGGCACAATTATCTCATAATTATTTTTCAGATCTCTTTCCGCCCCACTCTCTTTATACGTAGGGATGAGTGCAGAATTTTATCCTGAGAAAAAAACAATGCCATTCAACCGAAGAAATATTTTGTTTATTCAAGGAATAATTATTTTACTTAAATGAACTCGAATGAATTGCAATGCCACGTTTCTTCGGAATTGCGACAATTTATTTGGGTCGAACAATTGAAATTATTCTTTGAATTAACAGGTTGGCACGATTATTCCGTAATTATTTTTGAGATCCCTTTCCGCCCCACCCTCTTCGTACATAGGGATGAGTGCAGAATTTAATCCTGAGAGAAAAAAAATGCCATTGAACCGAAGAAATATTTCGTTTATTCAAGGAATAATTATTTCACTTGAATGAACTCGAATGAATTGCAATGCCACGTTTCTTCGGAATTATGACGATTTATTTGAGTGAAATAATTGTTCTTTGAATTGACGGAACATTTCTTTGGCACTGCGTATAAAATACGTAATACGCACAATATGTATACGCTATTGCTACGTATAAAGTACATAAATGTAAAGGATCGATGGGTATATATAAAACACGTATATGCGTTGCTATTGCTACGTATAAAATACGTAAATACGTAAAGGATCGGTGGGTACATATAAAACACGTACTGCACAATACGTATACGCGTTGTTACATATGTATACGTATTGTGCAGTACATATTTATATACATATAAAATACGTAAATGTAAAGGATCGATCTTAACCCAAGATCCCCCTCTGCGTTGTTCTAATCCTTTGGTGTCCGGCATGTTCCAGGTGTGATATCAGCGGGGGTGTCAGTGCCGGTGCAGATCCCCTCGCAGACTCCGGACCTGACGGGCAACTACTGGCCCCGGCTCCAGTGATCCCAGCTCTTCGGGTTCCCGCCCGCGAGTCTGCTCGTAGGCCAGGAGAGCCCGCCGCCACCCCCGCCGGCCGCCCCCGGCGGGGTGTCCCGCCCGCTGCTCGCCTCCCTCGGGATCCCCCCGCAGCCGGCGCAGCACCAGCCCTCCACGCCGGCGACCACCCCGGTCCACACCTCCGACGCGAGTGAGTGATAGCCGCCGCGAGAGCTTGACCCGGGTCACGCAGGGTACGTCCCCCGGGATCGCACGCTCCCGGGGGAGGCGCGAGTCGCCGACCGGTCCGTCGGGATTCCTTCAAGACCTACGAATTAAGGTGATATACCAAAATGTCATATAAACATACTCAAAAGTCCAAATATTTATTAAACTTTTCTCCAGTGGGTGCTGCAAATTATCTAAAACTTTAACCCTTTGAGGACGGAGTTCTTTCGACATATGGGCGAAATTCCTGAACACGTGCAGGCGATATTGGACCAAACGTCGGATGCATATATGCGGCGGTAGTCCGCAAAGAGTTAACACGTGATTATGGAGGCAGTAAGGAAGAACGCGCTGGCTCGTGAAATTTCATTTTTCGGAAATGAGAAATATCTCTTTTTGGTTATTGTCCGAGATTAGTACAAAAGTTTCTTCCGAAGAAAGAAATTTTATGAGCAGCGTGATGTTCCTTAGGGCCTCCGTAATCACGTGTTAAGGTTTCGGATAATTCGGTGCACCCGGTTTGGAGAAAAGTTTTATAGATATTTCGATACTTGCTTATGTACATATCACACTTTGATATCACCTTAACGCGCCGCTAGTGCTTATCGCGAGGACAGATAAGGATTTCCTTCCTTCAGAGCCGATTGCCTGATTTCAAATGACAACAGGGCGAATCGGGAAGACGTTTTTTAATTAATTTTGGAAAATCAACCATGAATCTTCGGACATCCGTGGACATAGTCTCTTTGGAGGGATGAAGGGGGAGGCGATACCTCAAAAATAGTTAAAAAATAAATCGGGAAGACGTTTTAATGAATTTTGAAAAATCCACCGTGAATCTTCGGACACCCGTGCACATAGTCGAATTTTTTTGCAGGGATGAAGGGAGAGGCGCAACCTCAAAAATAGTTAAAAAATAAATCGGGAAGACGTTTTAATGAATTTTGAAAAATCCACCGTGAATCTTCGGACACCCCTGCACATAGTCGAATTTTTTTGGAGGGATGAAGGGGGAGGCGCCACCTCAAAAATAGTTAAAAAATAAATCGGGAAGACGTTTTAATGAATTTTGAAAAATCCACCGTGAATCTTCGGACACCCATGCACATAGTCCCTTCGGAGGGATGAAAGGGGAGGCATGGCGGGACTTTCGGGAATTCGTTCGTAATTTCCGGGGAGGATGTCTCCGGAGGACCCGAAGGACCCGGGGAGTCCTCCTCGGAGGGATTATTTTCGAGCCAAAGGCGGGTCTACGGAAGAAGGGAGGAAGTCCCTCCATCGAGGGCTCGTCGCGAGGTCGGGGCCGAAGGGGAGGTCCCCGAGCACACACAGGGGTTGATAACTGCGCCGAGGGTTGCTTTCTTCGGCAGCCATTGCGTCTATCGACAGACATGGCGTCGTACACGGATAACGCAGACGCATATTTGGGTGTGTCCTCCCCTCTCAGAGTCTCCCTCTCTCTTCGTCGAACTCCAAAGAGAACGTCGAATCGCCACACCCGGGTGTCAGATAAGCGGCGATCCTGGAGCACAACCACTGATCTACATCCTATCAGTACAGCTGATATCCTAGAAAACGTCATTGGCACATAAACTAATATCCCAGTATCCGCGCATGCGTCAAAACAACGCGTCACACAACAATATACAATATGAGGTGTTAAATTAATTCACCGGAAGAGAACAATTGCCACTTTGTTTCAGTCGAAGCTCTGATACGATATGCCCTACGCATAATTTTCATTATACCTTAAACGTTTACCCGAATTGATTAATGGATTGACGGTTCGAAGCTTTTGCACATGCGCACTCGTTACCTATTTAGTACCGCCGCCCACGTGTAGTGGCGCTGGGGTGCCGTGCATTCGTCGAATGATATTTCAATAAATGGATATCAGCTGGTATATAGATCAGTGGGCACAACAAAGTATCGGGCCCGGTTCCACAAGCCTCGGTTAACGAGTTAACCCTCGCTCCCTCGGTTGTACCATTTACTTTAACATACGGTTCGATAATTCATGAATGGATCGACATTTGTGGGATCGGCCATTAAGTCGCGATAAGCTGCGTAAGGCGTGCGGAAGGAAATGGCGGAAGAAGTCCTCGACGGCCCTCGGACGGCGACTCGCCGCGGGCACTTTTGTATGATATACAATTCACCGAGGTTTTAACGATACATCAGGTGTAGTTTTTTACCGATCGCTGCTGCCGTATACACTGTAAACGCGAGTAAAAATGGGTTTCGCCGGTGTATGGTCCTTGGCGAAGGATCGACCTCTAAATCGCGTTTCCGGTTCCCCAGGTCGACGAATCCGACGAATTTCCGTAACACCTCGCAACATTGAAATTCCCAGAGAAACGGTCACTAATGTACTAACATTCGGCATTATATCTCGATTTTAAAAGCCCAATTGTTTCGCCCAAAGATGGCCGACCGTAAGACAAGGTGCAGGTTGAACGGGGTTAATCAAAGCGAGTTAATTCCGAAATCTCGGCGGTTTAATCGTCTAATTATTAATAATAATTCTCGTACAATGGGAGGAAGTCGACGCGAGGATGGGGAAAGTCGGAGAAAATCGGGAAAATCGGGGCTTCTCGGAGAAGCGGCGTCTCCGGTACCAAAATGGCGCCGGTGGAGGAGCGACTTTTCGCCGTGGATCTCGGGATTTAACGCGAAGCTTCCCCGTTAAGTTAGCGCGTTAAGTTACGGGAAAGCGGAGCGTCGTCCCGGTAATCCGTTTTAACGTTGAAAATGGAAGGCGCCGCGACGCCATGGAGGCCGAGAAGCCGAGGTAATGGCGGCGCGCCCGAGAGAGCCGCCCTCCTGATGCGATTCCGTGTACAATAGCTCTGTAAAATAGCATTTGTTATTCTCGTTAGTCCATGGTACGTGTACATTAGCCGAGCCCGCCACGATTGTACATACATACACGAGTGAGAACAATACCGGTCGCGTTCGAGCCCCTTACATACCCGAGTAGAGGGAGTACCCGTAATAAGGATAAGAAGTACCGTCTGCGTAATAATGCGTAATCAACACGAGGAAACAAGTCGTGGGAAACACCATCCACTTTACATAGATTTCAACAGACAGGACTTAAGGTGATATGAAAGGGTCATTTTATATATATAAAAACGGGAAAATAATTATGAAACTTTTCTCCAAACTAGGTGCACCATATTACCTGAAACCTTTAACCCGTGATTATGGAGGCCCTGATAAAAAACGCAACGCTCGTGAAATTTCATGAAATAAATGAGGCAATAAAACAATGTCTTTTTTTCTATTCTTGTCCGAGATACACATTTTTTTTTTCGAGAAATGAAATTTCACCAGCATCGCGTTCTTCCCTAGGGCCTCCATAATTTCGTGATGAAGTGTCAAATGATTCGGTGCAGAAAAGTATTATTAATATTTGGACTTTTTCGCATGTATGTATGACACTTTCATATCACCTTAAGGGGATGCGAAAGTGGCATTCGAGAGATCAATCGTTCATGAGACATTCCTCCAAATAGGGTGTACCCAATCATTTCATACTTTCCAACATGAACATGGAGGCAATAAGGAAGGCCCCGACAGTCGTAAAATTTCATTTTATTATAAAAAAAATCTGGAAACTATCTATAAACAAATTTTAAAAATTTGAAATTTCACGGGCGTTAGAACCTTCCTTATAGCCCACATGTTCATACGATTAAGTTCAAAAGGACTCAGTACACTCATTTCGGATAAAAGTTTCATAAACGCGACTTCTTCGAGGGCGCTTTCGCATCGCCTTAATTCGACGGCGCATAAAGAAGGGAAGATAAAAAGGAAAAGAGAAAAAGCGGGGGTCACCGGTGGAACTTCCCCCAGGGTGTCCCGGTCTTCGGCGCCGCGGATTACGCCTAGAGATCGACAATTTACATTTCCCCATAGAAGCTGCGACGATTCCCTTTTGCCATCCGGACGGTAAAGACGTGCGCGACTACGCCCTAAGGGGGGAGAATAATGTACATTAGTCTTAAATTTATATTTTTGGAAGAATAAAGGAACTAAAGTGTTGAGAAAATGTGGGGGACAACAGTTGGGGGAATTTTTCACGTGCGAACGAGTAGCGTCGTGCTCTCTGGTATTATTGCATATTACATACTCACACTCACCGAGTCGACGGGGTACATGCCCGGTTGAAGAGAATAATTTAACCCGAGTCTTACCACTTCTGCATTGACTCCGGCGTAGAACAGACACCCCAAGAATCCCCCAAAAACATCCCTTAAGGGGACGTCAAAGTGGCACCCGAGGGTTCGACATATTTACGAAGCTTTTCTCCGATCCGCATCGCCGAATCGCTTCGAACTTAATAAAGTAAACGTAAAGACCATAAGGGAGGTCCCGACACCCAGGAAATTTCAATTTTTATAAAAAAATTTTTGAAAATACATATAAACAAATTTAAAAAAAAAAAAGGGAATTGAAGTTTCGTGAGTTTCGGGACCTTTATAGACCTCCATACTTATATTGTGGAGTTTGAATCGTTTCGGTACACCCAGTTTGGAGAAAAGTTTCATGAATGGGACCTCTTCGACGCCACTTTCATATCGCCTTAAGAGCTTATCACATTAATCCCCAACCTCCACTTCTTAGTGAACCGCGACACGACCTTCTTCCTCCTCGATGCCGAAGTGGTAACGTCACCTTCTTATTATCTATAATAATAATAGTAACAGACACAATGTACGAGTATAAACAAATTTATTAACGGGAATAATATATTATTGCGGCAGTAATCTATGTAAGTGTTGTGAATAATGAGATAATATTGTTGCTGTGATTACCATTAAGATTGTAAGTAGTAGCTAATAGAACCACTGTTAGGTGTCACTGTCTCGATTCAATAAATGTTATTTCATTTTACCAAAGCGTGTCGCATTGCATTCACCCCTACATTCCCACCTTGCGTATCCGGCATGACGTCTAGAATATATTAATTAATTAATATATACACACAATTGGGAATAATAAATAAAATACATGTATATATAAATCATTACGCACATCATTTATTAATAGGCGGGACGCCTTCCAATCTTACAAAATCGAAAGCTCCGCATAATGAGGTCCTCTGAAGCTACACGTATCATCCTAACGAACTAATCATATGAGCGGTTATCAATTAATCACTTAAGCACAGTCTTGATATGCGTGGATAGCACGGATGAGTAATTAAGCCTAGTTTCAAGGGAGATAAACTTAAATTCGAGTCAGTACCTTACCGCGGTAACGAGCAATACATTTCTCCCGTTGACTACTAAAACGAGATGACAAGAAAGAAGGTGATGACGTCACGCCTATATTCATGCTTCCGAGTGTAACAATGGGGAATTTTCCATATCCGTTCCGCCGAACGGACCGAAGCACTTCAGCTGCATGTACATCCGGAAGACCACGATGACGATCCAGAACAAGGTAAGGCAGATCTCTGAAGAACAAAAAAAATGGCCAAAATCGTTACAAAGTACGACCACAATTAGACGGATACATCAGGGAAGATATTTGCAGCTTCCTGCGTAACCGATGCGCGGTTATATTACATAACTCCTGTACATCCAAAAGGCAGTCGGTACCGTTCGTCTGGAACGGTGGCGTGATGATGGCGACGTCGAAATTGGGCACGGTGGCTCTTCTTATGACGTTGATCACGATATATTTAAGAGCAGATCCGACGAAATAGTCGATCGCTACGACCACCATGTAGGAGCCGAGCACGGCGCAAGAAATGGACACTCTGATGAAGGGCACGAAGATGAGTAACTGATGTAGCACCACCATCAGCAGAAAGGTAAGCCAGAAGCTTAGGTTGACGCTCACCAGGGGGAAGCCGTCTGAAAAAGAGACGCCAAGGATGAGCATTAAGGCGACCTTAAACTGCCGTCCGAGGGGTCAGTCGTTCACAAGACATTTCCCCAAAATGAGCGTACCGAAACGTTAAAAACATCACACCATAAATATGGAGGCTATAAGGAAAGTCATAAAGAAACTTGAAAGAACTTCACGACTGTCAAGACCTTCCTTATGGCCTCCATGTACATACATGGTAATGTTACAAACGATTCGGTAGATACATTTAGGAGAAAAGGGTTAAGAGGCGCCTCAAGGGTCACTTTCATCCCACCTTAAGGAACCACCACGAGGGGTGGTGTGTCGTTACACTTCAAGTACATGTCCCATCTCTCCGAGAGGAAGGTAATCTTTCTCTAGGTGTAGAGAAAGGGTTGAGTCGAAAAAGCGGGTGGATAAAAAAAAAAAGATGGCGGCGAGTAATCGCTCTTCGGGGTCCAGATCTGGGGGAGAGCGGGTATTCCCCAGACACCTCGTCTCGTTGCGCATGTACCGAGCGTGTAATCCAAATGGGTGCCGCGCTAAATAAATACGGGGAGACAATTAGGTAAATGCGAGTCCTCCCAAGCTGGTTAGAGCATTTCGCGGCCCGGTCGACGGACCTCGGCCTTCCACTGCGAGGGTCGCTCCACGTTGAAGGGGGTCGGTCGGCAGGCAGAGCGTTACGGTGAGAAAGGCGGGAAGAGGAGGCGAATGCTCGCCGCTTCTGCATGGGGGATTCGATGGGCGAGTTTCCACATGAGCGGGCAACATTGATAGAAGCAACCCGGGAAGGGACTGGCTGCGTGTGTGCGCCTCTCGGTCCCTTCGCCAAACTCCGGGCTAACTTCGTAGGGAGCTTCTCTCCCCATGCAGCCCCTGCTTTAAGCTGGCTTTCATTATTTTCCTATAATTTGCAACAGCCTCCGTCGTGCGTAAATCCGGCCAGGGCGGGGGGAGAAACCCGTAGAAATTTTTCGACGGTCCCCCCTGAACATTGGCCCGGTCAGGGGAACTGGATCCCAGGAAACGCTAGCTAACGCTGGAGCAGTTACCTTCATTAAGGTATCTGCTGTCCCCTCTCCTAGATTCTTAAAACACGAATGGATAAAGTAACGTCCGATTAAATGGGAGAACCAAATTATGATGATCAGTTCCCTTGCGCAAGGCATCTCTCTTCCAGGGATGCCGAAGAGCGGTGAAGGTACCAGGAGGGAACTGGATCTCTCGGGAAACGATGATTAACCCTGAGGACGTTACTTCATCTAAGTATAGCTATCTTCATTCCTATATGAAGAGACGCGGTAGCGATTCAGACAAGTTCATGGCCGCTACCACTCTTATACTCGAAACATCTTGCCAGCGGGCATTTAATTTTCACCACTCGGTCAGTGCTGTCGTATTAAAGACCGACGGGCATTTTAATCCCTAAAACAGGAACGGGTAATGAGGTTTGATAAAATAGGAGAACCTGGTTTCGCCGAGGAGTTCCCTCGCGCGAAGCATCTCTTCCATGGATGCTGCGTGGCGGGAGTGGGTACCAAAAGGAACTGAATTTCGGGAAAGGCTCGTCAATTTCAGGGGCGTTACTTCAAAGAGAAACTATCTACTCCCCTGTTCCTAAAAAGAGGAATAAATAAAATTAAGTTTATTACACGAAAACTCGGTCTCGGCGAGCAATGCCCTTGCGCAAGGCCCCCCTTCCACGGGTGCCAGAAGACCGAGAGAAGGGATTGGGGTGAAATGGTTGGTTAAGCGGTCTTACCTGGCGTGCTGTAATACAGGATACTGGCCATGAGGAGTCCCAGTGTTCCATTAACCAGGAAGGTCATCAGAAACGGCATTTGCCGGTACTTGCAGACGTAGCTCGCCGCAACTCCGCACAGAAGACCGATCGGCAGGATCACGGCTACGCTCCCTGAAAAGTAGAATCGACAAAGGCGGCGTTAAATCGACTCATCGGTCAGGACTTACCGGACGCCCCTCGACTTGGAAGACACCAGCAGGACCCCTTAACCCTTCGAACCCGGAGCCATTTCGACATATGGGCGAGATTCGTCTGACCGTGCAGGCAATATTGGACCAAACGTCAGGTGCCTTTAGGCGCTCTCAGGAGCCAAAGGGTTATAGGAACTTCTGCATCGCGCAACCAGGAGTCCTCTTCATCTCACAACGATCCTCCGAGTAAGGAGCGTCCCGGAGTACCTAAGGAGTCCAAGTTACCGGTGTTCAGCAAGAGGCAGCTGATGACGACCCCGTAGAAGATGCCCATCGGGAAGGCCAGGACGATGATCAACAGGGACCCGAAGAAGGTGACGTAGATGCCGATGAAGATCATGAATGCCCAGACCATTTTCGCCATAATGGTAACTGAAAGAACACTTATGAACATTTAACCATCACCCAGGGTAATCCCCATGACCCGTTGAAACGTCTCCCTGGAATTTACTTCACCCCCTTGGCATGTTAAAAACAACTATTCCAATCGCGTCCATGAAACGTACATGATGGTGGACAAGTATCGGGCGTCACGGGGTCGTTGCAGGCGTATGTAAAAGCCGGAACATAGGCTGCGGATTGGCCGCCATAAGTCGCCACGACACCGTAAACCGATCCGAAACCAGGATAAGCGCTGTAAATCCGCCTCATGGTGGACCCCATTGCGGCGGCAGGTATCTGGTCGGCAAAAAAAAAACCACATCCCTCAAAATACCCCGAAATTCCCAAAATGAAATAACCAGGAAAAAAGGGGAGAAAAAAAAAATCCCCTCAATAGGGCAACCTGTTTGCAGGGCCAGGACAGGTGTGCGTAGTGAGCGAAAATATAAATTTCTATTGTATACAAAAAAAAAAGAAGGACTTCTTGCAATAGGATTTTGACGTTGATTGAAATTACGTAAAATTTGCTTCGGTTAAAAAAAAAAAAAGTGAAATATTTTCAGTTTTGAAGCGGAATATTTTCAATGCCCAAAGCCGATATTGAATTTTTTTTTCGTCAGGAAATCATTTCGCTCGCCACAAAAAGTTTAATTCTTAAAAGTTACTTTCATTTTTAAAAATCAATCTCTACGATTGACCCTTTTGCTGCCGCGGGCATTTTTGAACTTGCACCAGTCGGCGACGATACAAATTTCATATTAAAAATTCTATAATGGCTAATAACTGCGAAATATATTAAAATAAAGGTATAATCTTGCGAAAAGCACATTGGTTCTTAGTGGACAAACTCATGGTGGTCGTCGGTGAGCACCATGGCCCAAATGAGAAGGCAAAAGTTGGTCCCATGGGACCACGGTGACAGCGAAAGGGTTAAAAATGAAAATGTGGAACTATTCAAAGGAAACCAGGATTTCTATCAATTCTAGTACGTCATTCACATATCATTCTCCATGTATATACACGTACGTCTGTGTATACAACTTGATGCCGTGGCAGCGAAAGGGTTAAAAATGAAACCAGGATTTCTATCCATTCTGGCACGTCATTTGCATATCATTCTCCATGTATGCACACCTATGTCTCTGTATATACCTTGACGCCGTTTTTAGCAATGTCCTCCGCCGTCAGCATAGTTTTAATCGCTGAAAAGTACGTCTCGGGGGTGATGTCATGCTCGGGTAGGTACAACCGATATGCTTGATGTTGTACAGGATGTCGCTCGCAGGACGGCTCAGTTCCATTTACGGCCGGAGCCGATGCCGGTTGAGCATCGACGATTACGGTCGCCTCGGTCACGATCAATCGTTGAAACGGTGACGTTTCGACGTTAAACTCCATGTTGCATCCTCCCGGTATCGGTGCTGCGGATATACAACGTACCATGGATCGATGCGTGGACCACTTTTTGTTCCACATATCTTTTTTTCTCTCTTTTATTTCCTCCTTTTTCTCCATTCTCTTCCCCGACGTGCCATTGATTTTTCCCTGGGATTCACGGCTGCCTCGCCGGGAATTTAATAGCCGAAACACTCGAGAAATAATCGGGCCCCCCTTCGATCTCGAAGAACGCCCCCTCGGACCCCATTGCGATTTGTACGCTTAATGACGTATAAATAAATAAATTAATGTGTGGCCGCCAAGCGCGCTGGAAGGGGAGCTTCCTTTTTTTTTAGATCTATCTTCCTCTAAGTGTTGATCTACCGCGAGGATCGCTTACAATTATGATAACGTTTTCACAAAGCGGGATATAAATTAATAGTAAATTTTACGCGAAACTTATTGTAGCACGATAATACGTGTAAGTTCGCATGTTGTAAAAGAGGGGTCCATTTCGAAACGTTAAATTCATTTTTGTACAACTAATTAGTATTTACCTTCATCTTTGGGTTTCGGTAGCGGCACAATTTGCGTAAATTTACAGTTCATTACCATTTACACTCATCATTATACATTAGTATCGAGACAATTTGCGTAAAACCTTCCATTAGCACTGGCGCGTCACACTGGGTTAATTATTGACGTTTATAGTGGAATAAAAATAGTGCAAGTAGGAAATAAAAACAATTACGTCCATGGAGTACCGAACAGGCGTTTCGTCGAAGACCGACTAATAATAAATAATGTCTAATAACGTAATAATAATTAAGACTAGAAGTTACACTTGCTGGAAGCGGGGTCCGATTTTCTAATAAAATTCGTCTGCCTTTATATTAATTTGTGGAATTCTTTTATCGTCACGGAGTGAAGGCACAAGTGGATAAAAAGCCCGTTTTGGACAAGTTTTCCCAGGGTTTCCTTTGCATTGAATTAATGCCCTACTCCTCGCCTCAGTCCTCGGCGCCCTGAAAGAAACGCCCGGAGGGTAGGAGGTGCCTTAATTGAGGGCGCCGACACACGGCAATTGGGACAGAAATATTCAACCGGTGGAGACGCAACATTTGCCGGAGCTGGCTTATGTCGCGTCCCCTTTCCCAACTCGAGTGGGAGAATATTTGAGCGGTGTTCGGTGAATGCGACGCGTACCCGTGCCGGGCATGCCGGGCTCTCCATTAGTGTGCCCCGAGCCGCAAAAGGGGTGCGCGAGATTTCACATATAATGTCTGTTTTACAAGTGCTCTTTGACGTCCGCGCGCCCCTTGTCCACTTGTGCCATCGCCGAATCAAATGGACTTGTATATAAGCGGGCTTTCCTTCCTAATTGTCAAGTGGTATAGAGACAAGCCTTCGATGCAAGCCTTCATTACCAAGGCCTCGGAGTGCATCTGACATCCCTGCCTGACCTAGCGATGAGAAAAATCAGCCTTGATCTTTTCAAAAACACAAGACCGAGAGCAAGACCAAGATTACCAAGCTGTTGGTCTCGATCTTGCATTTGTTCGTCACCAGCCTTGCCTGCACACTTGCCACCTGAGTCTCGAGTCAAGGTTAATTCTACATTTCTTCCCATTGTTTACGCCGCCACGCTCTGGTGGGTCTCCTTATCGCAGTCTTTATTAACTTCGTTAAGTCTCGGAACATGATTAATCAACGTGGAGAAGCGATACTTGAACACTGCGATTTGCTGCTGCGCAAGTGGTGTATTGTTTTGTTTGCTTAATTATCGCTGTGATTAATTGTGCAGCCTTACCTTTTACAGTGTATGCCACGACCGCCAACAGAGCTTCGACCGATCCATTGTTATAGTTATCGACAACGACTGCTCTTCCCATTAAGGAACTGGGTAAGTAAACCAAGGGATTTACTGTTACGACGAGGCCAATGTTCGTGCCATTGACACTGTCTTTTGACACTGAGATGGACCAGGGTTTATCATAAGATAAAGTGACATTGAGTAAGTGTGTGTGCACTTGAATAACGATAAAGGAGACTTCTGGAGGAACTGTCTTTATGTTAACGATCACACCGCTATTCCCTGGTAACGTAACATTTTTAGTAAAAGCTTGACCGTTGCTTTTAGTGCGATTGTAACTTTCTAGAGAAATGGTTACAGCACCCTTATCTGTAAAATATTAGAAATGAGACAAATTAATTCCCTTGTAACACCGGGAAAGCAAAAATGATTTGTATCCGATTTGTAAGTAAAATGTTTTTAACTAATAGAGAATTTGAATTTTTCAATACGCTTCTTTTATTTCATATGTAAACACCATTCAGCCATAATTAATTATTAAAATTGTAGATTGCATTCTTATTCACTTAAGCATCATTATCATTGATAATATAACCCAAACCGATATCTCAATCCATTTTAAATTCATAACAGCGGCGTATTTTTTAAAATATCAAAATGTGTACATAAGTTGAACTATCCACGGGACCAAGAAATAAATAATCTCTCCGGAGAATGCCCACATTTTCGGAGCAATTAGGCCCAAAACATCATAACCGCCGACTTACCGAAAATATCCTCTGGTGGGGAATCCCCAGTATTACCGAGGACGAAACAATATAAGACAAAAATCAAAACGGCAAAACCACCTCGTCCCCTCGTCGCCATGATTCAGGCACTCTAACCTCGAAGACACTGAGCGCCGTTATTCACCTTCATTTCCCCCGACTTAAAATCCGCGAAATCGCGTAAATCGCCTTATTTTCGTGAGTAAAATTCCGCTCGACAAAAAGTAAGCAAGCAAGCAAGCAACAGCTGGCCGGCACATGCGGCGAAAATCCCTAGATCTGTTGGAGACGTCCCTAGGGTGTCCCTAAAACTCTAGTGGTGCCATCTTGGCCAGCGCAGCTGCCGGCGCCGATGCGACAGAAAATACGCTGCAGAGTACCAACCACTGCTCTTTCACCGTAACCTCTCAAGGGGAAACCAGAAGACCCAGCGCTTCTGCTCCATTCCTTGCCTCACGCTCTCTCTCTCGCACTCATAGGTGGCAATAAGTGCGACGAGGATAGCATGGTCTCTCGGTGTAGGGAGAGGGGGAAGCGAAAGAGGCAGGCTATCGCCAGTAGGACCGCGTACGGCGATGGGTAGCGGGCCGGTAGGCGCGGCGTGGTTTTCTCGGCGGCCGCGACGCGGCGCCCCAGTCGGCCTGCCAAGATGGCCGCGCTGGATCAATGAAACTCGCGACTCGCGATCCCGATAAACTGGCGATCGAGGGTGCTCGCAGGTGAATCCCGGAAGGCGGGTTGCCCCGAAGTAAATGGACCATGGGCAAGGACCAGGAGCTGCTGGAGGCAGCGCGCAGCGGCAACGTCACCGTCGTCGAGAAGATTCTGGGTCAGCGGGCGAAGAGGAGTGGTCCCCTGGCAAGGTGGGTGTCACCACCGCTCGGCGTTCCTTACTTTTTTATTTACGCCTCCCGACGCGCCCCGGGACGTCTCATGTTCATCCGCGGCGTCCTGGCGTGGTGCCGGAGTGTTCCTGGGACAGGCCGAGAGTCCTGGACGTCTGGAGAGTTCAAAATATACAATCCTCCCTCGGGCCAGGACCGGGCCACGCAGAGCGGAGCCCCGAGTCTTGGTTTGACAGCCCTTTAAATCCCGACCAGCCACCGGCACATTACTCCTAGAAAAAGAGCCCTCGTCCTCGCTAGCATCCCCAGAGGTATGTGCATCCTTTATCACGTCTTGGGAAGGCCCAAGCTGCCACTTAAGGCCTGTGTCCACGATCAATGAACTTCGTCAAATAGATATGTTACTAGAAGTTCGAAAGAATGCTTTAGTACGAGACAAAGAATGCAGCTGGTCACACTTTTCCATCCAGGGTACGTCACAGTTGCAGAATGCAAGAATCGGAGCATTTATATACAGGGGGCAATCGTCAGGAATGGAAAGTAAAAGAGATATTTAGTAAACTAGTATAAATAATGAGAAAATTGAACAATTATGAAATATCTATACGTATAAGATATATAAGAAGAAATTATGTATTCTCGTAATTTCCTTCGATTCGATGTATTCATCTGTACCTTCGCAGAAATTTTAAGTTATGGCTAACGGATGCACGGTGAAAGTAATCGAACATATGAATAAATAAGCGGAAATCTTAGTTTAATTTTGTATGGCTTCGAAGCAACACCTAAGGCATCTAAATGGATGGGAAATTTGACAAAGTTCTTTGATAATGGGTATCGGCCTTTATTCTCAAGTCCCTCCACCCAGGGCCGTAACTCGCGGCGCCCTTAACCTCCCCCTGATGGCTCTTTAAATCCCGAATTCTCCAGGAAATAGCCTTAAACATTAAGTAGCCTCTGTTATATTTATCTATTTTCCAGCCCTTTAATACCAGGGAAAGGTTATATACCCTGCGTCGGAAACACCATTAGGAAACGGAGATGTAAATGGGGTCCTTCGAGACGCTTGAGTAACCCTCAACGTCACTGGTGACTAATTCTCGTTGTAAACGTGACCCAAGGTCGGAAGCCATCGAGGAAGCATAACAAACTAATAACGGAATGCCTCCGGGATATCTCGCTGTTTACTTTTTGCCGGCGTTCACGTCATTAAATGACTACGCCGTAAACCGGCGGTTTTGTCTCCCGATTGCGTAAGGACTTTAATCGATTGTTATCTTTTAATCCCGTTTATTGTACGGGGGAATTCGAGGCTTAGCTGCATCTAATTCCGATCCTGGCTTGGAAAAGGAGGCTTATCGGGTCGCTCCCTTTTCTATTTCGGGCGGCCGATAATGGAATCTATTTCCGCGGTCACTTGTGTACTTTTCGAGGGCCCTCCGATTAAAGTCACGTCTTCGGGGACGAGGAGATGAAACTTTCCGTAATGTCTCCCTCCGGTAGCTCGCGGCGTGCTACGGCGTCGCGTAAAATTATTCCACCGTAGTAAAAAGAAATCAATAGCGAGACCGCCGAGGCAACGACGTTACGATTCAATTAGCGGGCCCCGATTATATTTTCGATGGTTCTCAAGAACCCTAAGAGGCGCCTTGAATCTTGTTTCCTCGCTTCCGCTGGTTATTGTCCACGAGATGGTAATTTAAATATCAGAATTACGAAACTTTCCACGCTTCCACCAGACGTTGCACTTTGGAGTAGTATAGGAAGATCACTTCCGGGTAATCATTGCAATTTTTGTAATTATATATAATATTTTTCTTTTTTTCGTTCTTGCTTGTTTTTGTCAAAAAGGAAATTTAAATTCAAGATTGGAAATCTTGGCGAGTGGTGCAACGAGACATTGCACTTAGGATTAGTATCAGAAGATTACTTCCGGGTAATCATTGGAATTTTTGTAATTATTTACATGGCTTCCAGTAGATAAACTCTGATAATCTTAAGATGAGTCAGGGTTCAAAATCTATTTTTTTTGTCGTTCATGCTTGTTTTTGTCAAAAAGGAAATTTAAATTCAAGATTCGAAGTCTTCACGTACGGTGCAATGAGGCATCGCATTTAGGATTAGTATCGGAAGATTACTTCCGGGTATGGGATTCATTGTACATATGGACTTAATTGGAATTTTTAATTATTCACTTGGCTTCTCGTAAACGCAGATAATCCTAAGATGAGTCAGAGTGGACGGAGTCGAGATCCAAAGTGCCGAGACAAATTTCTCCTCGGTGGTACAATGTTTGCCTTGTTTTTATCTATCTACCTCGTTACACTTGTTTGCCTTGTTTTTATCTATCTACCTCATTACACTTGTTTGCCTTGTTTTTATCTATCTACCTCATTACACAAAACGAGTTGGCGTAATTCCTCCCCCAGTTCACTCCCGAATTAAGAGGTCCCTATTTTTTCTCTTTTTTGTTCGTCCCTTTTTAGCTCCACAACGACGCGTGATAACTGGCCCGTTCTTTTTTTTTTTTTCTTATCACTCGCAAAACGGGCATCTTATTTCTCCCGGCAGCTGCAGTTGCAACTGCAGCTGCAACTGCACGACCGCGCGGAATGCACCTCATCTCCCGTCCTCTAGAATTCGCGCAAAAAGGACCTAATTCCCCGGCTGAATTTCCTCTCGATATACTTTTTGACCTTTTGCACCTTCTTCCTCTCCTTTATTTATTTATCCTTTTTCTCCTCCCCTGAAGTCGCCCCTCCGGGAGTCGATTGCTTCGTTAATTAAGTCGAGAAAAAGCTCTGCCCTTCTGAATTCGGCGAGTTTCCCCGAGCCCCCTCGGGACTCCTGTCTCGGAATTCCTGCAGGATATTCCCTGGGGAAGGAAATTAACGTTTCTAAAATCAGGTTCGGAATTTTCTTTGAATTCATACCGTCGGAAACTTATACAGTACGTATAATATCCATGTGACACGAAAAGGCTCCGTTTCACTAAATGAAACACTTTCTTTCGTACCGTTAATTATCATTTACATCCACCCTTGTATATATACATTGGAACGATTTGCGTTAATTTTAATTTGACACTTCTCGGCCGTTTATATTCATGGCGTTTTGGTATCAGCAGAATTACCGAGAATCTTCTCGATAGTATTTGCGCTTTATCTTTTCCGATTATTTTCCTTAAGTGAAATAAAAATAATAAAAAGTATAAATAGTCATGCCCAGGAGGAACATTTCTAAACGCGTAATGGCACTTCACGAAGGAACGATCAAGTTAATAATATCCAATAATTCTCTTTGACTTATTGTTTTTCTCTCCTTATCATTTTGATGGGACCTCTTCGACGTTTCTCCCCTCAAATTCCGCGTGCGTTTTCCGCCGCGGCACCACGTCGGATCGCAGAATCCACGTGCCTCGCGTGTACGCGGTTTCGTATAAAATCGCGGATCAGGAGGCGAGGAAGAGAAAACCCTAAAAAGTAAAAACAGGGAAAAACAAACCGAACCCTGGAAAAAGTCGGGTTAGTGGGTTCGGGGATCCCTAAATGTATCGTGACAAACAAGCCCCTCCAACAAATTGCCCCTCGTGTCGGCGGCGTCGTGTAACTTGTTCCTAACTACAAAGCTCCGCTGCGAAACGTCGCCTCCACCTTTTCCCGCCCCTTTCTCTCTAACCCCCGTTTCCATTTTTTTTCCAACCCCCTCTCTATCGCGTCGTTTTTTTCATTTTCCCCCTTCTACGTTCGCGATCGGGAAAGCGCGCTCCGAAAACCGCGACTGTCGGCGGAATCGACCGATTTATTATTATCATTATACCCATTATCGAGGGAATTGATAAGAAGTGGAGAAAAAAAGGGAATCCTTCCTTTCCCTCCCTGAATTTCTAGGGAGAAATCTTACCGCGATTTTTAAAATACTTAGGATCATTGATATCGATATTTTTACTGATTACCAATGAAACTATCTCCTTGTTTCTTTTGTTTTTTTTTTTTCAATATTTCAAGCGGGGAGGTCGAGATTAGAATGTTCAGGTTTGAAAATGAAAATGAGCGGTGAGGTCTGATTTATTATTATTACTATGTTTCCTCCATCATCAGTCGAGAGTATTAACATAAGGGAGATGTTGAAGTGGTTCCCTTTTATTTTTTTTGTTTCATTTCAGAATTTCAGGCGAAGGGATTGTGATTTAAATTTGGGGGATGAAAACGAGGGGGTAGGAAAAATGCGGCGTTTTTGCGACGAAGGTACGGGCGGGAGGGGGAGAAATTTGAGGGGATCTCTTTTTTTTTACCTTTTTTTAAAGGCCACTTCGAGGGCCCTCCGGACCTCCTCTCGGTATCCGCGGGGGCAGGATACACGGAGCTCCGTCAGCACATATCGCTATTCCTCTCCGACGGAGGAAACTATCGATTGATGCCTCAGCACCCCTCTCGCGGTGGCACACACACACGGATACGTACATGCATAGATACGGCACCCGCATGGATAGGCACGGACACCCGCATGCATAGACACGACGCCCGCATGCGTCTATACAGACACCCGCATGCGTCCATAGGCACCCGCATGCGTATGTACAGACACCCGCATCCGTAGACACGACGCCCGCATGCATACACACGACACCCGCATACATACACACGGACACGAACTCACACGAGCTTGCTCACACCCGCACACTCGGGCGCGTTGAGAGAGGCCTCTCTCGGCCTCTCCGAGTCTGGCTCCGTCTCTCTCACGCGCCCTGGATCCGTATCGCGCTCTCTCCCTCACACACCCTCCACCTGGTCCTCTCTCAGCCTAGTTTTCCTCTCCGCTCCCTCGGGCCTAAGGGTGCGTTCGCACCGGAGAACTCGGGCCTAGGCCCGGTACACTCTTTGCGCGGCGGGGCTTTTACCTGTGTCGCGGTTAAACGCCGGGGAAAATTGTGTCAACCCGGGACCTCCGAGGAGGCGCGGCCCCCCTTTTAATCAGTTCCGTCCTGTAAACGCCTCGTTACGAGAGGAAATGGGATTTCCACTTTGGGGAAATATTTCCACGCGTGTTGGTATCGCGACATATTAGGTCCCTCCGAAACGATTGAACTTTTGGCGGGAGGAAAAATCTACTGACTTCGTCACATTGTACAAGTGTTCCTTCTTTTTAAGAAATTGAAAGGACACATTTTTACCCGTCTTTTTTTTTTTTCATTTGGTTTACGATTAATGTCGTGTGAATTTAAATCGTTTGAATTTCGCGCGTCGAACGACACCCATGAAATTTCAGTTCTTACTCCTTTATATGTATTATTTGAATGTCTTTGTTTTACAAGGGATTAAATTGTAATCTTTTATGCAGTGGTCTTGTATATGAACTTTTTTTTTTTTTTCCCGAGGCGGGTATACAGACTCATTTGACATTTTTTTCTTATTTGAACGTACAGGCCTTAAGGGAGGTCTCGACCCTCGCGAAATTTCACGTTTATTTGTCCATGAAAGTTTTTTGTAAATTTTGCAGTAAGAAAAAAAGTGAAACTTCACCGTTGTCAGGACTTACACACTTGTGTGGAAAATTGTCGAACTCGGTCTGGACGAGACATTCATGAACGATATTGAACCCCCCGGGTGGCACTTTAATGTCGCCTTAAAAGTGGCGCAATAAGTACTAAGCACCCGGGGAGTGGAATTAAATTTGGCGTAAATTGGGGACACGTAAGGGGGCTCGCCAGGTGACCGAGCTCCTGGATTACGAGTTCCCGGTCGGGTCCAGTCTTAATTAAGTCCTGGAAGAAGCGGGGGCCCCCGTTTTCCGAGGGGTCCGGACGAGCAGTGACGTCCCCTTCGGGAGACCCGGGGGTCATCCGGTGACGGCCGACGATGTCCTTTTTGCCGGCAATCCTCCCGGTTTAATCAAGGAACGCGATGAATCGGCCCCGGGAAGGTCTTCATCGCGACGCCCCCCCCCCGGGGGGGGGGTGTTATAAAAGGGGGGCCCAGTTACGCACGTCCCCCTCGTCGACCCTTAACGAAACGACCTCCCGAAATATCGCCGGGGTCTTGATACCGGTAATTAAGGAGAAACTAAAAGTAAATATGTCAAAGTGACGCGCAAATCGAAACATTGGGGTGATCGTCGACGTCGAAGGGGCACCGCGACCCCCCGTTCGCCCCCCCCCATTCTTCCTCGCTGGATAGTACCTCTGGAAATTAGATCATATCTTCATCGCAATTTGTAATATATCATAGACGTCTATGAACATATGATCCTATGAGCCTATGTCAATGTCAAATGGGTACCGTGCCCCGGTCCCCCCGATTTTTCATCCCCTCACCGCATAAAAACCCCTTATCGAGGGTTCGACATACGCGCTCCCACAATTATTCCTAAGTGTATCCCCAAAATGCGAAAAACGCGAATTAACGAACCCCGCACCCTTAAATCGTAACCTTTCGCAATGTTATTCCAAACGTCTGTGAACACCCATACCCTGAAGCCTAGTCTTTCGACATCAGAGGGGGCACCGCAACCCCTGTACCCCTCCACCTCCTCTCACCGCATTACCCCCTTATCAAGGAACCAACATACGCGCACCTCCTTACCAATTGTCCGCGATAAACTCCAAGCGTTTATAAACACATACCCCGGAGCATTGTCTTTTAACATCAAGGGGGCACCGCAGCCCCCTCCCCCCCGTTCACCCTCCACTCTTGACGCTCTCGCGGCATTACCGCGGTCTTATCGAGGAATTACCATGCGTGCACTTCCGTCGCAATTGTTGACAGTGTGCCACCCCCCTCAGGGGGGGGGGGGCGTTTAATTACACGCACGTATTTGCCACCGAGGTGGAGGGCTCCACATATGTCAAGGGGGGCCGACATAGGAAAAGGGACTTCTGTGAGGGGTGGGAGGGGTAGCTTTAAGAGTCGCGACCTCCCGTCCTCGACGACGAGGGGGTGCGTTAAACAAACACCCCCGGAGGCCGCCACTCGAGAAGAGCGCCTAAGGTCGGAATAACCCCTGCGTATCTGGGGGGTGGCGGGGGGGGCTGCACTTTTCGGTGGCCTTCTTTAAGTTGCGCGTTCGCCTTGACTCACCCTCTAGAGGGGGGTGGGTGGGTTTGATCTGGACCACAATGGACCCCGCTCTCAAATGATCCGCGCGAGTCGCGTGCCGCCCCCCCCCCCTCTCGTCCCCCCTCCTTGTACTGGGAGTGGACCCCCCGCGACCCGTCCTGCTCGCGGGGGGGGTGGCTCCTCAGGCACTCGGAGACCCCGAAGGGGCGACTTTGATGTGGCGAAGTTCAAAGCGCCGAAGATGCAACCACCACCAACCACCCCCTCCACCCCCCCCGTGCCCCCGATCGCGGCAAAATGGCCGCGACCGCGACCTCTCTTCGGCATCCCTCGAGTTCTCGGGGGTCGGGTGGGTGGTCTTATCGGATTAATTATTTAATTCGATTGTCCTGGGTCTATCGATTCCGCGGACAGTAACGATTGGGTGGAGGGGGTGGTTCTTGGCATAATCATTTATTCAATTCGATCGACAAATTCGTGATAGTATGGATTGCAAGGGCGGGACGGTGGATGTGATGCAAAGTTTTTTGATGTACCGGGGAGAAGTCACCCCCCGGGAGGGTGCCCCCCCTTCGGCACTTCTTAGGTCTACGCTGGGAATCCTCTCCGATCGCGACTCGTTGGTCTCGCGGCATTTTAATCCGCGGCACGCGACCTCGCGGGGGTTCGTTACCCCCGGCCGTAAAAAGCGAATCGTTCCCTCCCTCAGGGGGTGGCTCGCAAAGTCGCGTGGCGCCCCCCTTTACGGAGGGGGTCGCAACGTCGCGAGAGCGGAGGCGCTTTGATGTGGCGGCATCAAAGCCCCGAAGATGCACTCCGGGAAGGGAAAAAGTGGCCCCCGTCCCATTTCGCGGGGGTGAACTCCCCCCCCCCCTCCGTCTTTCAACCTTCCCCCTCGATCTCCACCGCGATCCTCTCTGAATCTCGTAGACCATCTCGGATCGTTGGCGAAATGTGTTTCGCAATATATTGACATCTTGGGAGAAATAATTTAGGGTAGTTGGGGGGTGGGTGGGTGGGGGGATGACTTATTGGCGCTTTTCTTGCAGATCGAATCTCGTGGATAATCGCGTGTCGGGTGGAGGGACCTCTCGCGATATGAGGTCCTTCGAAGGAGTTGGCAAATATCCTCATATAACAATAATCCTCGAGTTTCACCCTAGGGATATCCACGCGTAACAATATGGCGACTCTTCTTAACTAGATATCGTCTCGACGACCACCCTCGGAAACCGATTTACACAGTATGTCTTCGTCGATAAAGGGTCGCGTAGCCGAGCAAACGGGCGTTTTAATTCTATGTCCGATTTCTATCGAATTAATTTCAAGAATTATTTTGCGGAAACGGTGGATAAACGCCGGAAAAGCAGATCGAACGTCACTTGGGGGATGAAGGGCCCACGTTTATTTCCGGGCGTATCGTCTCGACGGCCACCCCCGGATACCCGTTTACACAGGGGGTGCGTCTTCCTCGACGAAGGGGTCGCAAGGCCGGGCAAACAGGAGTTGCGTCCGCGGCTCCCGAGGGACGCGGTTGCGTCTACAGGGCGTTTCAGGAGATCGTCGGGGTAACAATAGAGACGTAATGAGAGAGCATGTGTCGGATTTTGGGCCGAGCTCGTCAGGCCGGATGAGTTTCCGTGTCGCTGCCTCCTGCGGGATGATCTCTCCTGCAAGCAGGGGATGACCTCCCCTTACGGCCCAATAGTACACCAGTTAACCCCCTGCATTGACAGCAATTCTTAACCGTTAATAAATGGGGAAGTAAACTTGTGTAATAAAAATTAAAAGATGGGGGGGAAAAAAATTGAAAATGCAAGTGCTCGTATCTTTTGGGGTTAGAAGGGTAATTAGTGCTCTCCTGCAACCACCTCATCCCTTTCTACCGATGAATCAGCTACTCCCTTTATTGGCTCGGATTCATAATCATTCGTAATTACGCTTTTTACACGGTAGTGTCTTTTGTAGTTTTCGGTATTGAATAAAAATTCATATATTTTGAGTTTTCTCGTTTAAGTCGTGCTAGTGGTTTCTGACGATTAATCTGGTGGTTCGGGCCTTTATGTTTCAGTTTAAGGCGGGGCCCGGGAGCTAACGTGCAAGATGCCAGCGGTTATTCGGCCCTCCATCACGCCGCCTTAAATGGCCACAGGTAAGTCGTTCCTCAGGGACCTCCTCAGGGTGCCTCTTGAAGAGCGCCTCTCCTCGACCTTAGCCGACGGGCTCGTTAGCCCGAGGAGCGACCGGTCGACGACGATGCACTCTTGACTTTTTCTGTCGTCTCTTTTTTTCCCTCGCCTCCACCCTCTCTTCCGTTCCACCCCTTTTCTTTTTTATCGTAAGTGATTCGAGGGTGACGCACTCCTTGCGGAAATTCCCGCCGGAAGACTGGTCGTACGAAAGGGAATTAACCCACGGATTTCCTTTTCACCTGTTCTGCTATTTGGATCCATTGATTTTATATATTAAGGGGATTTTTTTATTGTCTTCAGGGATGTCGTCAAGGTGCTGCTGCTGTACGAGGCGTCGACCAACGTGGTGGACGCGAAGGGCTCCTCGCCGCTCCATCTGGCGGCGTGGGCTGGAGATGCTGAAATAGTCCGACTTATCCTGAGCCAAGGACCGTCCGTGCCCAAGGTCAACCTCGCGGTGAGTCTCTTCAGGGTCGTCGAGCCGTCCTCAACGATCGTCCTCCATTTCCCATTTTTATTTAATTTTTCTACATTTTTTTATTCCCTCTAAGGTGAAGCGAAACCTGAAGAGCAGGTGAATAAGACTAATTGTTTTAAGAGTAGTACACCGAGACGCCTGTAACTTCAGTACATGGATCATGAGTCCCATAGGAAGGTCTCGACCCTCGAAATTAGATTTCAAAGGAAATGTTAGGCTAGGCCAGGACCAAAATGGCGCACCTCGATCAATATACAATTTTCCAAGGCTCTCACGTGAGAGACGATAGTGTCAAGACCTTCATGCGATGATTCCGAGTCACTTTAATGACAGAAAAATCCGCAATTGTACGTGACTAAGGGGAAGCTTAGCACTGTGTGCAACAGATGGCCTTGCGATCTGATCAGAGTATCAAAACCATGAATCCAGGGAGTTTCGTAAGTTTGACTTCGCTTCACCGTCTCGCTTCACCGTCGGGGAGGAGTACCTTTGATGAAGAGAGTTTCCTAGCCATTTGGCAACTTTTCTGTGTCCTAATTTCCGTGTCATTTCCGTTCTTCCTCGGTTGCAGACCAAGGACAACGAGACCGCGTTGCACTGCGCGGCGCAGTACGGGCACACGGAAGTGGTGGCGCAGCTGCTGCAGTACGGATGCGACCCCAGCATCCGCAACAGCCGCGGAGAGTCCGCCCTCGACCTCGCCGCGCAATATGGCAGGTAAATAACGCCCGGCAATTTTCCGATTAAAGGGGCGAGATCCGCGAGAGCGACGGTGGGGCCCCCTGCGCAGCACTTCCGGTCGTAGTTTGCGCCACCCTGTAGCCGGTGATTGCCGCGGAGAGATCGGCAAACATTGGCCACGGTGTCGGTCGATACGCCCGCAAATTGGTTCCCGCAGGTTCGGCGCCGGCGGGAAGGTGTCGGCGATGTCGTCGGGGTGCGGATCGAACGGCGTCGCGACACCTCGGGACCCGATTCTTTTCCCTATCATTATATTCCTATACTTATTGTTCTCCGTCTCTTTCCAGGCTCGAGACGGTGCAGCTGCTGGTCCGGACGCATCCGGAGCTGATCGAACCCCTGCGAAACTCCTCGTCATCTCTGATCTTTCCCCACACGCCGCTGCATCTCGCCTCCAGGAATGGACACAGGTCAGTCCCGCTAGTTCTAGAGCGTCCCGCTGCGGCGCTGCGGCCAATGCGCACGTGGCTTCAGGCAGTGGATTCAGGTCTCTATAGAAGCCCGGAAGGATGTGGACGTTTCGTCCTGGATAAATAGCATACTAGTCGACAGATGGAGGCGTTGTAATCATCTCTCCGTCTCTCTTAATCTTACGGGGATGTACCATACCCAGCTTTCTATACGCATCTCCCTTATGTATATAAAAGAACCGTCGACCAAAACATGCCATCTCTTTTTTTTACTATCATCCCTGGTCCGTTAGAAACATTTTCATAGCACTAAGTGCCAATATGGGGTCTAGGCTTCTATAGAACATCTGAATTCTTTGCTTCAGTGCCGCCATAGCGGTATCGAGCTGCCCTCTGCCGGGAATCTGAGGAAGGAATTGGACATAATTTTCTATCCAGTTAGCATTTACACGAATTCGATTGCCGGTATCACCGAAATGACGACGAAATACTCGTTTCGATGCCGTTGGCCCTGCTCGATGATAACGATTCGTCGCGGTGCACCACTCGTCGCCATTATTAATTACTTCGCGGTGACAATGGCGGTCGGCTCGAGCTCGGCTGCTCCACCAGGCAGACGTGCCACGTCGGCGCGTCGAGGGCCCCTCGCGTGCGATCTCTTCATTCGATTAAGTTGATTCAATGATCGATCGTAACGCGTCGGGCTGCGATCGTGCGCTTCGATCCGCGGCCGCGAATTTCATTTTGCATCGCATTACAAACACCGGGCCGCGTCGAATCAGCGGCGACTCGTGTTTGGACAGTCGGCTCTGGCCGCGACGGCAGCGCCACTCGCGGCAGCTCGGCGAACTAATCGGCCGGTCCACCAAAGGTACCCGTAATCACCAAACCTTACTACAATTTCCATTTACTTTATCGTTAATACCCGAATGTTATCATTCAAGAACCACGGATTTCCCTTGGTCTTTTCAATTCAGTCCTTAAAAACGAATTTGAAAGTAAGTATACTCGACGCAAGGCTCTTTAACACCGAAGCTATTCTGAAGGACGATCCACAAAACCGGCCATGATCGTCAAACAATATTACCATTAATTATGCATTTATTACCTGAATGTTTGTTTTTTTATTTTTCCACCTCAAATAGATCTATAATCCGAACACCCGACAGTCCTCCTACTTTAATTTGTAAATTCGCAAAATTCCATGAAAAGCCTCTTAACTCAGCCTCGTCCGGGAAAGCGAGGTTACTTTTTCTTCCTTCAATTTCCTCTTTTTACTACCAGGGGGCGGCGCAAGAGTTCCTATGTCTCCTCGTTGATGCCAGAGGTACGGAGCTACGTTGTAACGGGGGTTTTCCTTGTTCGGGGCCACTCGGGGGCCGAGAAGAAGCGGAATTACTCGTCTGACGAAGACCGGCCATTTAGCGGGGCGCATTGTGCCCGCGCCCCCAACAATGGGCCCGTTCGAGCTGACCGTAACGATGTCGGGCCATTTGCAGCGCCGCCGATTAGAGCCAATCGGAGAGCACCCGCGTTGCGTAATCTCATCAACCGGTGCATATATATATGTATATACATATACGGAATATATATGTATATCCATATATATATCTGTACGTGTATGTGCACGCGGAATCGCCGAGCCCGATACGACCCCCTGCGAACCTCCGCGTTACCATAGCATATCCCAACGCCTCCCCCCCCCCAATCCGTGGATCCGCCAGATCTCATCACATACCTCGCTTATAATTACAGCAGTAATTAGTATTTAACGTGACGGAGGCCCCAAAAAGCCCCTTTACCTCGAATATTCAGGCCCACTTTGCAGGGATGAAAAAAGTTGATTCAGATTTTATTCAGAATTTCAATCGAATTTACAATGATGAATATAGTTTATATATGTATATATACACAATTATGAATATACTTAATATATAAGGTTATTAATATTTACAAGCTGGGATGTCCTGTAAAGTGCTGGTAAAAGTCGAAAGTTGTGCCGTGTAATGATACTAGCGTTACTTATTTCAATGATTAATGTCAAGTTTGGCATTTCGATGTTAGAATACAATGTACTTAAATTGGAAGAAATTGAGGAGGATTTTTGCGAGTAGGGTAAAGAGGGAAGTCGAGGGCGGACGGCGGCGTACCGCACCGGCGACGCGACGCCTCTTATCACCCCCGCGTGGGGCACGCGCCCCCCCGCGGCGGGCGATCCGCGTACGCCGCTAATCCCCCGTAATCCTTTAAAATAATCGCCCGCCGATCGGAACGGGCGAATCGGAATCGCCGCGAACGCCGGTTACATTGTAATCGGGTATAACGCCGGTTTTTATACGGGCCGCGGAATAATCGTTTTAGCCACGGCCCGGCTGTAATGCGATTGCATCGCGATACAGTCGGGTGGGTGCATCGGCGCACCGACTGACATTTTATCGCCCGAATTTCGGGCTAAATATCACGACCTGGGGGAGGTGTGCCGCGATCTTCTCTCCGCATCGTGGCGACCCGGGTGAGGATTATTGCCGATCTTTAGCATTTATCCTGGAGGATCGATCTTCCCGGCTTAAGGTGACGCGAAAGCGAAGACAGAGAGGTCTCGTCGAGAGTATAACGCTTTTCTCTGAACAGGGTGTACCAAGTCGTTCCGAACTTAACTATGTGGCTATGGGGACTATAAAAAAGGTCCTAACAGCCATGAAATTTCAGTTTTTCTTTTGGATATTTTTTTATTGATTTTTGTTTATTGGTATGTTCTTAAGCTTTGGGTGGAAATTGAAATTTTATGGGTGTAAAATGTTTCCACGATTTAGTGACACTTTTTACTCGATACACTTGCCGCGCCTCCACTCAGAGAGTGTTCCCTTTTCACAGATTACCACTAACCATTCTAAAAATTAATTATCCGATTTTCTCCTCGAAATTGCATTACTCGTTGCACTTGGCGCGAAACTCTGCCGCGCCTCCTCTCAGAGAGTAATCCCTTTTCACAAGTTACCACTAACCATTCTAAAAATTAATTATCCGATTTTCTCCTGTATCGAAATTGCATTACTCGTTGCACTTGGCGCGAAGCTCTGCCGCGTCTCCTCTCGGTGATCGTTTTCTCCTTCTTTTCCCGTTTTCCGTCCCTTTTGGCTCCGCGTCGCCCCGTCGAATACCATTTTCCCGGCTATCGGAAATTAATCGATAGACCCCCGTGGCTAGTGCGTGGGCCCACATGCACCCTGCACTCACTATGCACGCACCATGCACCGGGCGACCACCCCCGGCGCGTAGGCGCGTTCCCGCACGCCTCGCGCCCCGGTTGGCGGCCCCGCCGGGGCTCGGCCGGTGGCCCGCCATGGGCGGGGTAATGTCAATTATCGGATTCAATATCGCTGCTCTCGGTAAGCCAGTACAAATACCCCTATGGTACGGTAATAACAACATAGGTGCACGCGAATCCGATCCCGGCCCCAATCCCTGGACGCGATGGATGGCCGCCGCCTATCGCGGCCCCGCCGAAAGCCAAACCATCGGAGAGTGTCCTACAGCCCCGCGTATACCTTTTTATATTCCTTTAGTATCTCCTAAACGTTTCCTTGCGGCCCTATTATCCCGTAGGAATAGATTTCAATGATTTGTATTTAATGTAACGTCATTAAGTATTGGATTTTATAATCTATTTACTGTTTTTTTTTTAGGGAGGTATTCCTTATGGCGTGGAAATATGTATGTGTAAATATAGTTATAAGGGAAGGCCCTTATGAATCTTGGAGTCCTTTCGACTCTTCATCTTTGATTTCAGTATTATTTTTAATTTCTATGAAATTAATAGGCTCCGGGGTGGGAGATTAAGTGGGAGTGGGATTTTCATGTCGTCTTCTTGGTCGTCTTCAGGGCCGTCGTCGAGGTCCTGCTGGCCGCCGGGGTGGACGTCAACACCAGGACGTCCGCGGGCACCGCCATGCACGAGGCCGCCCTCTGTGGCAAGATGGAGGTGGTCCGCACCCTCCTGGACCGGGGAGTCGACCTGGCCATCCGGGACTCCAGACAGAACACGGTGCTCGACCTCCTGGGACAGTTCCCGCCTCACGTTACTCAGGACATCACTGCTGTTATTAAGAGTACGTCGTTTTTTTAATTACTTCATTTTTGTCCGGGTGGGTGGAGTACCCTTAAGGGGGTGCGAAAGTGGCATTTGCGGTCCTTACTCTATTAAGGTTCTTACTTTGGTTGTGATGGGCGTCGGGGATGACGTTGAACGATTTTTGACGGTCCAATGAGATGGTTTAAGGGGTCTTCCTCTGGTTCGCAGGACACAGATCTTCATCTGGGGTGGAGAGCGACGCGGACAGCGAGAATCTGCCACCGATCCCCGTGCAGGGTGGCGGCGACTCTCTGGGCAGCCCCTACGAGAACGTCCGCCCTGGCCAGGACTTGTCCCCTGGGGAGGGAACGTCCCCTACCCAGTGGCAGTTCTACCACAAGCCGCGGGACGACGACCGAAGAGTGTCCGGCACCTCCTGCGTGTCCTTGTACGTATGAGCATGAGCTCTCCTTGTTTGGTATCCTGGCTTTTTCACTGTGACTTCTAAGCTGGAGTCTCCGGGGAAAGTACTGCCCAAGCGATTCCCAAGTGAGTTTTGCTGGTGCATCCTCAGGGTCTGTAAGTAGGTAAGGGAACCCGCGCTTCCGGTTCGAGATCCTTGTACCTTCATTCTGAGGTTTGGCAATGAGAGGTACCCTTCCTTACCCCGGTACTCTTCACTGCAAGGATGTACGTCCTAGATCATACCAGTATCCTACTTCTGACCACCCTTCGCTCCCCCAGGTCGCTATCCTTCAGTGCACCCAACATATAATACCATGCAGAGTGCAAGATGCGTTACCGCAGCATCCTTCACGACACCGGCCAGGGTACACATCACGGTCGATACCGAAATCCTTCGTTACACAGTGCGGGATCCACGTCTTGAACCAGACCAGCCTCCTCTATTACACCATCCTGGACCATGTCGATACCTTCCACCACTCCATGCAAGACGAACCACCTGGACCAAGTCAATGTTCATCGTTACACCGTCCAGAATACACTTCCTGGACCACATCGATGTCCCTGGTCACGCTTGATCCTGACGCGTCAGTCCCAAGGCCAATCGGTGATGGACCCAGCCTCCCGTAATCCAGCTCCGACCTCCGAGGGACTTCCTTCCTGCCCAAGCGGTGTCACCCATCACCAGGGAGAGCGCGTCCACCTCGAGGTCCTCGGGATCCGCAGCGCCTCGCCGCCGATCTCGCGTCCTAGTAATATTTCAGGAAATCCCCGATATATACGGGGGCGGACCGGGGCTTTAATATAGGAGATGTGGGCAAACAAAAGCAGAGATATAGCCGCGGCCGCGGTTGGTCGGGGTCGAAGGGAGCGCGCGCCAGGGAGAAGGGAACGGAAGAGGGAAGGTTGCGCGGAGATGGCGGAGGTGGTGCGGCCGCGTGTAGCCCCAGCGCGTTAAGCACCGCTTGGCTTGGTTTAATTTTCCTGATGTAGGCAGGCGATGGTGGGTCCGCTCCCTCTCTCTCTTTCACTCTCCCTCTCTCGCTCTCCCTCTGGCTCGGTTCGCTTCGCTCGCCCCGGGTCACCCCTTCCTGAACCACTCGACTCCATTGGTACCGCCACCGGCAGCTAAAGCCCCGGCCGGAACCCAACCCCCGGCGCCATCGACGCCCGACGTCGGTGGCCCCGCTGCGGCCCGGCCGCGGGATGAATCCATCGCGTTAAACAATGTAAATGTTAGCCCGTCTCAGCATAAAACTGGTAACCGTTGCCGCGCACCACCCCCCCGCCGCAACGGTTTCTCCGGCAACTCGGCCCGGGCCGACGGTCCCTCCTCATTAAGGACTCCGCCACCCTCGCCCCTAGGTCCGGGGGGCGGATTCCGCGATGCGGAGAACGGCCGGAGTGTCCGTAAACTCGGCCGCCCCGATCGCCGGATTTCCTGGTCGAGGCTCTTCAGGGTGCTCTTCGAGGTTGGTCATCCTGAAGATCATGGCCGGGATGGACGAGGTTGAGCCTACTGCGGTTGCACTTGCGGCCCGGGCTCGTTGGCTCTGTGGATGATCTCTTTGACCCTTTATTTCCTATCTCGGCGCGACATATCTACCCAAGGGAGACACCGCACCACCTTTTAGACGGCTCGCTTTACTTTTCGAGTCCAGGAAGTTGGAACGTCGGGATGGTCCCGGAAATGAAGGGGGCCACTCGGAACCCCGATTTTTTGGTTGCGCCTCTCTCGATCCCAGCTCGCGATGAAACTCGTAGACAAGTGGGATTCGTTTTTGCTTTTTCTTTCTTTTTTTTTTTTTTTTTGTGGAAAGGGGGAAACTGGGTACTGGAGTGTTGCCGGGAACTCGACGGCTACCACTCGGGGAACACGAGTGCACCTCTTGGTGCCCGGTGGCCCGTAGGGGATGGGCCGTGCTGGTGCCTTCCGAAATTCGGGCTGGCCTGTTTCCCGTCTTCTCCAGACGAGAGTCCCGATGGGCGTCATCCTCTGGATCCTACTCCTAGTTGCTCCTATTAATTTATCGAGATTACGCTGCGATCTAAAATTAAGTAATCGCCCTGGCGATCATATATCTTGGGACGGTACCTTGACTGTATGAGGTGACGTCACTGTCCATTGGTTAATTTATTTACTAATTTATATAACAGGTATATTAAGGTGTTAAGGTGATATGAAAGTGGCATTTGAGGAGTCAATCGTTCATGAAACTTTTTTCCGAACTGGGTGTGCCGAATCGTTTCAAACTTTACAATTTGAATGTGGAGGGTATAAGGAAGGTCCTGACACTGAAATTTAATTTTTTGTATAACAAATCTTAAAAATGTCTATGAACGAAATTTCATGAGACCTTCCTTATACCCTCCACATTTACATTCTAAAGTTTGAATCGATTCAGTACACTCGGTTTGGAGAAAAGTTTCATAAACGAGATTTTTTTAGTTTAATTAACCCCCTAACAAGTATAATTTATGTCGGTGGGGCGATCATCATGAAGTTTAGGAATTGATAAATGTCCCAAAATGTATGATGGAGGTATTGTGCAAGACTGGCCCGGGACCAGGGTGGGGTCAGGTGACGAGTGCAGGTAAGGTGTGCCCGTGGACTTGGCCTAGTAGTTCTAGACGGTAGTCTAGGATCTAGTAGGCTAGACTACCAGCGGTTAGACCCTACCAGGCTCGACCAGGCCTGATCTATATATGTCTCGTGTGGGAACCACCTTTCAGCGAGGACGAACCACCGTGTGGGAACCACCTTTCTCCCGGGACCGGGGCCCAGCAGACGGAGGACTCCGACTTCAGCTCCGTCTTCGATAGCGCCATCTTGTCCATGTCCGACACGCTCAACTCCATAAACACACTCGAAAGTTACGACCGAACCCCAGACGACAGACCGCTAAACACTACCGACAATACCACACCACATCCACCGCGCGACACCGCACGGTAACATTGCACACTCCTAGGAGCCTGTGTCCACAATGCTAGAACTCATTCCGAGATCTTGGACCGAATCGATGTAAGAACTCGGATGATAAGGGCACCTTATCTCATTTTTTAAACCTATACCACATCAACTATCTATTCCACCCACAAAGTGGCACGAGGAGATGCAACGCCTCGCATCGAAGGCGGTTCAAGATCTTCGGATTTTCGCTGGTTCAATGCTTCGGTTGAACCTCGCAATTTGTAATTACCTTCTTCTAGTATTTAGCGTATTAATACCGCCACATTATGTGTGTTACGCACGGATTAGCGTTGCAATTGCGAGATTAAAAGCGCTTTAGACTATTCACCGTAGGAAGTGCTGTGGTGACGTAGTATGAAAATTCTGAAAACCTCCGCAAGTGGCGCTCCCATCGTTGCTTAAGCGAAAATTTGGGATTTCTGCGGCCACATTCTGTGGAATCGAACATAGGGGTTATTGCTTCGTGTGTTACTGCGTGATTACACCTGGCTTCACTTGGTACACTTGATTGGAGCACTTGATGGGTGCATTCGAGGGTGGGAAAGTTGAACGGGGGGTTGGTCCGAGATTTTTTTATCGGGTTCTGGCATCGTGGACACGCTCCAACGAAGGTAGATCTTAGGACTAGAGCGAGGCTTGCCACGCCGCGACCAGCTACACCTATCAGGATCAGGATCTATCCTCGTGGATCACTCGGCTAGGTCGGGGACGGGGATCTCTGGTTGCACCTCGATCCCTGTTCTCGAGAGACCTCGAGAACCAAAATCATCGCTTCAGCATCCACGCCGGAACCGCAACGGTGGCAATCGATCTTAGTGCGGCTGCGGTGCGGCCGCATCCAAAACGCATATGCGTGAATGCCAGGCCCGAAGGAACCCGCCGTTGCGGTTCCCGGTTGTCTCTTTTCCTGGTACCATCCAGGGGAACCCATGGGTTAGTGGTCCACCTTGCGTATCATGGGTTGCGACCTTGTGTGGTTCGCCGAGATGGTCCACCAGGATATGCACGTTCTGCAATCGAGTTGTCTGATTTTCGCAGGGGCTCCGATAGCGGCTTGTATCAGACCCCCCCAGCACCAAGGGGCCCGATGGAGGGCGGCTTTGCATCCGAAGACCTTTCGTTGACTCTGCCCCCGGGGTACGGGGGAGGTCGGGAGTCCGATCAGCTGAGTGTCTCCTCGTCCTCGAGCGTGGGTGGACCCAGCCCTCGGGACCGACGTTGCCTCCCCAACGAGACCAACCCTGGGATCTACTTGCCCATGGCGCCGCTTTCCAGTTCCCTGCATAGCCCTGCGTCCAACAGCAAGGTCTCGGTAAGCGTTGCTCCCAGGTTCCACTTTTGTTCCTTCATATTCTCGGTGAAGTTTCTCTGAACAGCGCAAGGGGATGGGAAAGTGATTGATCAATCGCTCATGAAACTCTTCTCCAAACTGGTTGTACTAAATCATTTCAATACCCACGATGTGAATACAGAGGCTATAAGGAAGGTCCTTACACCCATGATACTTCAATTTTTAAAAATTTGTTGATATTTTTCTTAAATCTTGTATAAATCGGAAATGGGTGTCGGGACCTTCCTTACAGCCCCCATATTCACTTAGTAAAATTTCAAACGACTCGGTACACCCAGTTCAGAGGAACGTTTCATGAACGCTGACCCTTCGGATGCCACACATCATTTTTTTTGGTTCTTCAGGGTAATTTATATACGTATAGCGATAGGTGGAGGTTTGGGAGATGAAGAAGGGGGTATTTTTCGGTTGCAGCCGACCCCGCCGAAGAAGCCACCCCGGAGGAACCTGTCGGTGTCGCCGACGCACCTGCAGACGCAGATGTCGCTGTCGGCGGACTGCTCTCTGGGGCCCAGCAACTACGAGTACCTCTTCCTGGCGCGCAGCGGGGCCCGGAGCCACATCGACCTGGAGCAGCTGCAGGTCCGGCGGGACCAGCTGCGTCACGTCACGAGAAGCGTGGACCAGTACGTGGACATGAAGGCGCGCCACCACGGGGAGAAGCGGGACCAGCACGAGGAGCCGGTGGCCATCACGTCGATATACGAGAACCGACCCATCAAGGCACAAAATCCGAGGCGGAAGCTGCGCAGGTTTTGCGACCGGCCCTACGAGAACTATGAACCGGATGGCCAGTCAGGGGTGGACGGGTCGCCGTCGAGCGTCGAGGGCGGACCTGGCCAGGAGCGAACCTTCGTCTCGAGCGCCTTCCTGACCCTCAAGTCCTCCCAGGAGAGCCTGCTGGATGAGAAGCGAGACCCGCTGGAGGGCCGGGAGGCCACGGACAAGCGGCTTAGGCGCGTCCAGATGATGTTGCCCACCAGCCCCACCCACTACGTGCAGCCACCCACCCCGGACCACCCACCGCCATCGGCCCTGCAGGCCGAGAAGTCCATCCACGACCGCATCCGGCCCCTCAGCCAGGTGAGAATGGCTTAGGATAGCTTCTCTTCGGGGTTTAACATTTATTAATAATCGCGTTCGGCCTCTGAGCCAGGTAAGGTTGGATAGCTTCATGGTCTGACATCGATCCCTGATCGTATTTGGCCTCCTAGATAAATGAGCGTGTTTTGGGATGGCTGCTCCTCAGGGTTTGATGTTCATCAATGATCGAGTTAGCTTCTCAGTTAAGTGAGAATGTCTCAGGATAGCTTCTCTTCGGGGTCTGGAGTCATTGCTCCTTTTCCGGGCGTTCTCCCCGGGCCTCCGTCTTGGGGGGTGTGGGGGAAACGCCGCGGCAAACGGCGCTCGATTCGACACCCTCCGCTGCGCCGGAAGTGTGGCATCTCGTCGTCGTGTGTCAGCCCCTTCCTCCACCTAACAGAGGGTGACTCCCGCCTGGTACCCGGGAAAGTACTGCGCGGACAGGTGTGACGGAGCATCCGGATGCGTTTTCCGCAGGGTTAATCCGCCGCAACCCGAGGGTCCACCTGGTCCCAGGTGGCCCGGTGGCTGGTGACCCCTTGCTTCTCATTTGGGACCAACCCTGGGCCTTATGGGGTGCAACAACCTGCCGCAGTTTCCGGACAGTACATCGGCAGCTACCCCGGGTTGCGTTTAATATACAAGCGTGTTTGATCTGTGATGCGATTTACAAGGAGCGTCTCTCTTCCGCGTCCCGGCCGCCCCCGCCCCGCGTGGCGGGGCCGCTTCCAGTTTGCCGGCGTCCTCCTGTGATCGCTCTGCTGTGAGACGTCTCCCTTTCGCTTCCACCTCCTGCCGCCCGAGGATGTGTGGAGAAGCGTGACATCGCGGGGGGTGTAGGGGGAAAAGGGCCCTCCGGATGTCACCGGAGGTGCACCTCCGCACCCAGCCCGCAATCCGGGATTGCCGCACGGCAGAGGTGATCCATCTCCCCGGTGGAATTTCTCAAACGCTCCAGGCTCGCGGGGGTGACTCTTTGGTACCATGGGTGGTCCCCCTCTTATCCACCTGGTTCCAGCTGGTCCACCCTGAAGGAAACCCTGATGAACCCCCTGAAACCCGTTATCAACCCTCTGGATCCAATCTCCAGCGGATGCGACCCACCAGGACCAGACTTCCAAGGATCATCTCGGAAACTCTCGCAACTCCTGCATGCTCTTAGATCCATACTTTCTGGCCAGTCCTCCCTATCTATCCGCTGTACTCCGAAGAGAGCCCCGAAGAGAACCCTGAAGAACCCCGCGAACCCCTCAATCAGTCCTTAGGACCCGAATTTCCAGCGGAAGCGATCCACCAGGACCACTTCCAAGGATCATCTCGGAAACTCCTGCATGCTCTTAGATCCATACTTTCTGGCCAGTCCTCCCCATCTATCCGCTGTACTCCGAAGAGAGCCTCGAAGAGAACCCTGAAGAACCCCGCGAACCCCTCAATCAGTCCTTAGGACCCGAATTTCCAGCGGAAGCGATCCACCAGGACCACTTCCAAGGATCATCTCGGAAACTCCTGCATGCTCTTAGATCCATACTTTCTGGCCAGTCCTCCCCATCTATCCGCTGTACTCCGAAGAGAGCCCCGAAGAGAACCCTGAAGAACCCCGCGAACCCCTCAATCAGCCCTCAGGACCCGAACCTCCAGCAGAAGCGACCCATCAGGACCACTTCCAAGGATCATCCCAGGCACTCCTGTGATTCCTCCCCCTGGACCCTCCCCTCCCAGTGGCGATCCCAACTGTAGTCCAGAGGCCGATCTGCCGAGCCCTCCGTCGAATCTCCAGCCGAGCGGCTCTTCGCTGGTCAGCGCTGACCCTGCACTTCCCTCCCCCTTTCCCTCCCGTTTACCCCCCCCCACGCAAAGTGCATCGGAAACGGTTCGGTGTGCATCGTTTCGCGCGACGTCGGCCCGGGGGGAGGGAGGTGGGGCAGACGTGGGTGGGTGGTCCGCGGGATGCAAACGCGGATGCGGATACCGAAGACGAGAAGGGGTGGAGGAGGACGGGGGGGGGGCAGAGTTGGGACCTCAGCCCGTCAACTTCCGCTGGGAAACCGACGGAGCGGCAGAATGCAAGACGCCGACACCCTTTGAATAATGAAGCCCTCGGCTTCCATGCCTGTCTGACTTCGCTCTTTGAGCTCCGCGAGGGAAATCTCCGAATTTGTAGCGATGGCTTCCGGGATATATCGCGCCCCCTTCTGCACCCCCCTCTGTACCCCTCCTCGTCTTCTACTAACGAGAGAAGACGTGGCGGACGCGACTTCCGGATCTTCTCTGTCTCTTGCGCATCTTCTCTACATTCGGAGGAAACCGACGACGTCCCACCGGAGTTTGTATATATATAATATATAAGCGCGAAAATTTCCCGCCCATGGGTGCTCGGTATTATTTCTGCCCATCATTTATCGACTATCTGTGTGCACGACTCCCTATGAAAACCCGCTCTCGATGATGAATATCAATTCGCGAAATGCAGGCGCAACGCGAGTAGGGAGTAATGGTCCCCAAATGGGATCCCGGCCGTCGCATGAAACAAGGGGTCGAAGAAAAAAAAAGGAAAAAAAAAGAAATAAAGGGGAAAAGAGGGGTTAAAATAAAGGATAAAAAATGAAAGAGAAATCCAGGAGCGCGATCAACTACCGCCCTCCCCCCCCCGTGTTTCGCGGAAATACGGCACGCGAAAATACCCCCTACCCCTTGCTCCCAACCACCCACCCACCCACCCCCGGAGTGTAACGCGCGCATTTCGCGCTCCAGGAAGCGATCAAACGGTCATAATTCCGGGGATCAAAGACGAGGGCCACTCGATTAAAAATCAGCGTCCCCTCTCTTGTCCCACCACCCCCTCCGCTATTTGCCACCCCCTACTGCCCGCCCAACGCGCGCCCGTTCTCGCCGAGGGATTTTTCATCATGTCGGCCTGTTTACGTTACCTCGGCGAGAATGTCATAAAGCGCGGCGATGGGCGTCCCTCCGCCCCGATGGCGTGCAATATGTTCTAAAGGGATTCGCCATCGTCATATACCACCCACCCGATTTATCCGCCCACTCCCGATGCACTCGCTGGACCAGGCCCTGTTGCGCTGCAGGGCGCGCTGTGCATTAAGGTGATGTGAATGTGGCGTCGAAGAGGTTTTGTTTATAAAATAATTCTCCCAAATCGATTTACCGAATTGTTTGATACTTTACTACGTGAATAGAGAGACTATAAGGAAGGTCCTGAGACTCGTGAAATTTCAATTCTTTTAAAATTTGTTTATAGGTATTTAAAAAATAGTTTGTAAAAAATGAAATTTCCCGAGTTTCAGGACCTACTTTAGAGTCTCCATATTCACGTTTTAAAGTATGAAATGATTTGAGACACTCAGTTCTATGGAAAGTTTTATTTTTCTTTTGGTTGAGAAATTTGGCAAAAAGAAATGATCGGAAAGTTCTCTCTTTAACTCTTTTGGACACGGAGCCGTTTCGACATATGGGCGAAATTCCTCTGACCGTGCAGGCAATATTGGACCAAACGTCCGGGCCCCTTTAGGCGCTCTTAGTAGCCAAAGAGTTAATGTGTCAAGATTTCGTTGCTCTTCGGTTACAGGTGTACAAGCGTCGCTCCCGGGACATGGAGACCGAGACCGAGGAGGACCTGCTCCAGTTCCCGGCAGGGAATTCCCTGGACGCGTCCAGCGGGTCTCTGTCTAGTGTCTCCCTTTCGGACAAGAGCATGTCCACGGACAATGTCGAGGAGTTCTTTGGGGACGTCCCCTTCGCAGGTAAACCCCAACGATCCCTTGGATGCACCGCATGACGCTTCCTGGCCAATTGTGCATGTCTTATCGTTGGTTTGCGCAATCGTATCCCCGGGGTCCCGTGGAGTCGAAAACCCACCGAGAAAGGAAAAACTGATTAATAATAGATGGATAAGAGATACGGTGTTTCTATCGGTCGAGGGAAAAGGGGGAGAAAAGTATTTATTGAGTATTAATTTAAATTCATAACTCAGTTATGATTTTGGTACACACGTGGTCTTCCGTCCTGGCGAATCTTCCCGAGGATTTACGCAAAAAGAGGAAATGGGCATTTTTTATTTTATTTTATTTTATTTTATTTTATTTTATTTATATTGTCCTATCGGGTTTTGTCGATTAGTTCGGGGCTGTCACGGTGGTTATCGGTGGTTAGCGATTTTCTTTTTTTTTTTCTCTCTCTCTCTCTCTCTCGCGATATTTATCATATCACGTCTCCTGATATTGTTCGGAGAGTACTTAGTTCCTTAGATGTCGGTAGTTATTAGGCTTAATAGTTCATAACCTGTGATCCGAATCCTGCGTACGTGTAATCGATGGCCTTTGTGCATTATTAGGCTGGCCTTTACTTTTATGTTATCATTGTCCACTTGTCGGGATGCGATAATGGAGATTCGCTCGGCTGCGGATCTTGCCCGTTAGTATGTGAATCTTTGTTCTAAAGTCGCGTTTAAATGTTTATTACGTTCTGGAGTTTCGAAAATGGAGGGAATGTTGTTTAGTTTCGTGAAATTAATGTTTATAGACAGACGGCTTCTTCAATGAGCGAATTTAAACTTCTGCTAGGTTATGAAATTTCAACGACGGAAAAAGTGCGTTTTAGCAATCAAAGATTTATTAGGAAAAATTTCTTTGGAAATCGAATTTCAACCTCCGCCAGGTATCTGATACTCAAACATGGTGAAAAAGTGCAGCGGACATGTTTTTTCAAAAATTGCATTTCAACTTTCGCCAGGAATTTCGAAACCGCGGAAAAAGCGCATTTCGTCTCGTTCGATGAAAAGAAGAAAAAAAAAAGATCTGCTAAAATCTATTAGAAAAAAATGGAATTTAAACTGCTTGAAGATGACGGAGAAATATATTTAGTTTTATCTTACAGTCATCTTGGTGCAATCATTCATCTCCTTTCCGGGGACAATTATCGCAATTACAGTCTCTTCCATAACAGTCTTTTGCCATATCTCGAGGGTGATAATTAACAACCGATAGGTTTATCGTCTAATTAATCGTCTATTAGCATATATCCTAGCTTTGACAATTTGTACAAAGAGGGTCATTATTATTTACATTAAGGCCCATGATTCAGATAACGATATTCATATACATATACATTTATTTATCAAGCATATCCTACTGCTATCGCGAATAGATATTTTATAAATAAATAATAAGTGCACAAGTATTCTGTCAAAGCCACTAAATGCCGCACATGTATGTTGTGATACATATATTATATGCATACACACACACGTATTATCGGTGCAGTTATCGGAAATAATTATAATTAATACCCGAGAAAAGTATTATTATCGGATATTCCTTTACAAGTATTCCGCGAAGGATATAAAAAAAAAATGGCCGGCGAATAGAAGAGAGGAGAATTCCTAATTCGCATGTCGCGGAGGTGTGAACTCCACCCCATTGTTATCTACCCTGCATACCTTTTTTTTTTATTTTGCGTAATGTGTACTGTATTTATCGTTGGGTAATGTGCATCGTGGTGTATCCGGTGCGACCAAGTGTAATGTCTAAGGTTCACTTTCAGCCGTACAAAAAATACTATATATGTACAATACGTATTATATATATATATATATCTACGTATGTCTCACGTTTCCCTTCGCGTTTACGTCTCGCTAAACGAACTAATTGTTTCTTGTCAGCTTGTTATCAGTTTCCCGGAATGACGCTTGATAGCTCTTATTGTACTTGTACGGCTGAGGTGTACGTAGAAATCGCAAACGCGCACAAGTATATAATTGGCGGTGCACACGCGCGTGTGTTCTCTAAGCGATTATATAGTGCATTATAAGTACCGTTGATTTGCCAATAAACATTATGCTATTACGTATGCCGATGTCTTGATTTATTTTATTGCTTGCCTCGGCGAGTTGAGGTTGTCAGTTGTATCAGTGTATGTGCCGGCTAGCCTGTAGAAGATCTTAAGCCCGATGGTCTGTTATCAGCGAACGTGAGTACGCTGATAGTGTATATATAAGTTTGATAAGTCATGGTGATGGGTTATAAGAATCATGCCGAAATATCAGACCTGCACCATACCTTCCCTCAGGATTAAAATGATCCCTCCAATGTCATAATTCTTGAAAATGCCATTTAAAAAAGTACAGCTTTTTCAAAGTATTTATTTATACATAAATACTTAGGGATGAATGATACATAATTATTTAAACATGAATATCTGGGGGTGAACGGAACGTTATTGTTTATATATATATACCGAAATACTTGGGGCTGAACTCACTATAATTAATTATACAAAAATTCTTGAAAATCAACACCGATGATAAAAAAATCCCAGGAGATGCAACCTCGCACGTGGAGGAATGTATAATTGTTTATTTTAATATCTAACGTGTACTTGGTTGTGCTGAAAACCTGAGGGGAAAATTAGTACTCTTTTTATATGTCGTAAATTTTTTTCTTATTTTTTTTTTTTCGTGTTTTACGGATTTCTTCAGGGGGGCACGCAGAGGTGCGCAATTGCCGGGATTAATGACATTTGCGGAGGTAATGAAAGGAGGCTCGCGACTGATTAAATTATTCATCGAACCCCGGCGCGATAGCCTCGCAGAGCGGACTGTCCCGTTGTTATTAAATGTTTAATCCGGCCAATTGTTGGCAGCATGGCCCAGATCTCCTCTCGTAATGACGACATCCTTCTTCCTGGCAATTCCGAGCGATTTAAGCGTGTCATTGCATCGAGGCCGTACGTGGGTACACGCGTCATTGCGCAGACGCGAGATCATACCTCTTGATTAAATGCCAATCAAAGATGATATGCACTAGCAAGTACTAATCGATTGCCTAATTATTCCTACAAATAGACAGTACCTGTTTCTTCTATGTACGTGAAAATTCCCCTATGCCACTTTAAAAACTAAAAAAAAATAAAAAGGAAAACAGAGCGCATGTCTTATAAAGAAAATTTATTAATTTCAATGTTATATATGGTTGTTAGATGTCAAGTCACATTGTGTATGCTCATTTAATAATAAGCTTCAAGTTGAACCGCCGATATATGAAATTGGCGCCTGAATGAAAATTGATAAGAATTAAAATGCAATCTCTGTACGAGTACGCGTAAGAAAAGAAAATATGAAATTTCATTTTTATTCGGGGCAAGGTATTTAAATTTTCTTGCACGTGTAATTACATCGAGTGTTGGTGTGTGGTCATTCGCGGTTATTAAAATTGAAAGGAAAGGGATGAAATTAAATTTCCTATTAATCATTAAGGTCTGATATTTTTCGACGAACCAGGGGGGGCGCTTTAATTGGAGCTTAATGTACAACCGGCGGAAACGGGTCACTGTACGTGCATTAGGTAATTGCGAGCACGGAGGGGCGCAATGTACATGAATCTACCGACCAATCAGAAACCGAGATTCGAGTTTACGGGGAAATAAATACCCGGTTGGCGTTTAATCCGCTCTTGTATGATCATTTAGTGTCATTCACGAGGTGGCAATTATCATTTGTCCGAATCGTACGTATTCGACGGGCTGATAACGTTATCTGCACGTTCTTCGAGAAACTCGTTGCACCGTCGATACCTTTCCTTCTTTTATCCACAATTTGTGACAGTCTTTCCACGCGAGCATGCGTTGCGTTATTTCTGCCCAAAAAAAAAAAAAATAATTACCAACCGTGTGGTATTGTTAATTAAAAACGCGTGCGCTTGATAATCCAACCACCTCTTCTACATAAGTCCGTAAGTAAACAGGAATTTCGTACAGAATTATTTCGGAGAGTTTATACTATTTAGCGCCTGTAAGAATTAAATCCATTGGTGGATAAAGGTTTGTACTATGAGGGGATTTATTATTAAGTCTTTTTAGTCAGTTGATAGTGATGAATTTGATAATCGTATAATTAGATAATGTCGGTCGAGTTTAGGGTACTTTCTTGGGCAGGGTCCTTCAAAGGAGCGTTCAGAAAGTCTCGTTATCGCTGACAGGCCTCTTAATTTTCAGTTAATTCACTTTCGTCCTTCCTTGTCAGTTGTGGAGTTTACGACGAGCCGTGAATGTTAATGAACTCGAGGACAATGAGACAAGTCGCGTTACGACATCCGGTGGAGTGCCAGACACTCGACGGTCCTCGAGTTGCATATCTTCTCTCGTTGAAAATCCATTGACTCCATTGTTCGATTATCGATCAGCTCTGTAAACAATTGTTTCACGATTAACATCAATGTCCACTGATATCAATATCGATATCACTGTCTACTGATCTTCAAATTTTGACACTCGCCCCTAATGTCGCTGATTTCGCTTGCAAAAAGCAAGGACAGTCTTCGACGCCTTATCAATTTTTTTTTTTCTAATCTTTTAAATCGTTATCAGGTAATGAACTTATCCTTATTTATATCAAAGATTTTTTTTGTTAGGATTCCTTGCCAATTCTCTGTCAATTTTACATCTCGTGGACCACGACAGTTCTTCAGTCTTCGACGCCTTATCAATTTTTTTTTTTCTAATCTTTTAAATCGTTATCAGGTAATGAACTTATCCATCCGTCCTAATATCCATGCATTTATATAATTATTTTATACATGATATACATTTTCTACCGAAATAGAACAAAACCCTAGCGAAGAGAGATAAATTATCGGGGCCTATTTCGATCCATCGAATCGAATCTCCGCAAATTGCTTCCGCCATTGATCAATTGAGGTCGCTACTTGTGGATTGCGGAATGAGAAGAAAATAAAGGGAATAAAAAGAA